ATTGCTGCCGGGACAGATTTTGTTCATCCTCGTTTCGTTACAAACAGCATTCCTACACAGGAGGAACCTGTGATCCACATCGCGACTCGACAAGCGACTCGTATGATTGAAATCAAATGTCAATGCATGTCTCGTGCAATCCGGCACACCTGTTCGGCATTGCGCCTTCACGTAAACTGCTTTGTGCTTCTTCCGTAGGTCGATCGTCCCGTACGTATGATGAACCATCGCCACCGCGCCAGCATCACCACTCCAACACCATTTCAGCACCCCCTCACGCTCATCTGTTCATGCGTCGGGTCAATGTCTTTCAGTAACGGTGTCAAGACATCCTTCGGTTCAGCCCAAATCGTGCCCCTTTCCCAGCAGATTTACGTACTTCACCGATCCATTGTCAAGACCAGTCCCTCAACGATTCCAGCCACACAAAGCTAACTTCGCACGATGTCGAACAGTTTGCTAGGCGCCTCATACAAAGCTCTGGATCCCCTCGCAGTCGCGGAATAAACTGTACAGGCCTTCTTTCCTCGTCTAGATGACAGTAGTAGGTGGATCGCCGTGCGTCGTTGGCGGTGACGGCAATTCTAGCAACGAAGAGAGCAGCAGCGACGCCGAGGGATCGGAAAGAAGATCAGACATTAAGCGTTGCACGGTCGTCACTTGCTACAGCCTACCGTGGTTCTTGCATCGACGGCTGAGACTGCGAAAGAAGCAGCAAATTAGCATACAGACGGATACTAGCCGTCCGACTAATCCCCGCTGTCTCTATTCGCCGCGCGACGATGCGGCGAACACGGGAATGCGGTTCTACGTTGCACCAACGGAGGTGGGTACGACGGAGGCGGAGCGATCCGAGGGGGAAAACGAGCTGGAAAGGGGGCGTGGCTCGGCGGAAAATGAAGTCGTAGCTGTGCTTGCGATGAGCAAACCCAAGAACATTCTGGAGCAAGAAAGCATTGGCACGAAGAACGACTCTCTCTCGACTCCAACGCATCCTACCCCCAACAACGACTCGAGCAACAAGCCTTCTGCAAAACCCTCCCCCGGCCTCCCGCTGGCTCCCTTCTCTGCGCCCATTTCCTCCCCCATTTCCCCACAATCCGACGTCTCCAGCAGCAGCTCGTCACCGTCCGATTTGGAGTATCCGCGCCCATCACGGACGTCCATTTCAGTTTTTTCGCGCCTCTCCTCGGACTCTGGTGGCTCGCTGCACGACTCTCGCCGATCGACATATGAGGCGCTTCCATCGCCGGCGCGACACGGCGGCCCATCCGTCACCCCGAGACTCTTGGAGGCGCAACCGTCAACTTCCGCTAGCGTGAGCCTGCCGGCTGCGGCACTGAAACTGACGGTGGCGACGGCGACGGCGGCGGTGGCGGCGGCCGAACAAGAGGGGGAATCCGTGGTGGGACAATCACCTGCGAGCTTTGCTACAGGCAGTAGCTGCTGGTCCGCCTCGGAAATCGAACCCAGCTGTTCCGAATCGACGGATGCCGGCGTGCCTATCGCGCAGCCATGCACGATCGCCGACGCGCTGCTGTTTGATTGCAATGTGATGGACGGCGATTGCACGACGAGGTCGGCGCGCAGAGGGGCAGCCCGCGGTACAGCTACCCGCAGTTCAAGCTGTTCGACTTCGAGCTGTTCTGACAACGTCCCCATGGCGTACCCGCTCGTAGACGGCGACTCGTCGGAAGGAACTTCCCCGCTGGATGATCCGCGGTTGATAACTCGCAGCTTCAGCGAGAGATGCGGCGGTAGAAGCGACGCTAGAAGCGGCAGGTGGCGCGCTGCCGCTCGTCTCGGCAGCAGCCCGGCGGCATTCCCACAGACTCCGCGCGCAGCGGTTCCCCCGGAACTTCTGGCAGTCGTTCCGCGTGGCGGAACGAAACCGAGTTCCATTGGTACAACCGTGGGCGGGGTTATGAGCCGCGCGCTCCCCTTTGCGCTGATCCCGACGGGCGAAGGCCTTGGTAGCGCCGCGGCAGCGAATCGGCGGATTCAGAGGCGCTTCTCCTCCCCAGGGCTGCCTCAAAGCGTTGTTCGCGATGCATCCTTGATGGACGGCGGAGATCGCGTATGCGCCACCCAAGTAGTAACCGATCTACGGTCACCAACTCTCCACAAACGAGCGAGTATCATTCGAATTGCACGACACGATTATTGTCCCATACGACACGTGCTGTCTTATCCTGTGCTTCTCGAGAGAAATGTGGGCGAGCAGAGCCATCAAGAGGCGTCAGAAGGGGGAGGTGACCGGTGCGACGGGGAAAAAGCCCTCCTGCGTGTGCGTGAGGGCGGAAGGTCTGATATTGCCTCTGCTGAAAGCTATGGGTCCGAGGAGGGTGGCATGCAACCATTGGAAAGCAATGAAGGCAGAGTGAGTAGAGTTTTGAAGTCGAAGGGTGCAAGTGTGAGACGGGTCTCGTTTAGCAAAGTGGTCCGAGTGAGGAAGATCGTAACAGATTGCAAGTCCAATGATGGGGTCGGGCTTTAAAACGATGAAACATGTAAGTAGGAATTAGATTTTTGTAGATGTATAACATTTTGTCAGAACATTGGAAGTGGGAGCCAACAATGAGATCAAACCTTCAACAATGAGATCAAACCTTCAACCAAACCAAATCGAGGTTTCCACCCCTCACACAAAACGGGACCTCCAGCTCGAGGGAGCGGTGTGAGAGGGATGAGTCGAGATTTTGAGGGGTGGTGAGGCATAGAAAGCTCTGATGTTCCATTTTCACCGCTCCCACTTGCGGCCATTATCTCCGATGCTCAAGTTTTGCCTGAGCGCGTTCTCAGGTGTAATCAGCTCGGACTTTCTCAACGTTGATTGGTCGTCGCTTTATAGTTAAAGTTAAAGTTGTTTTTCTGGTCGTAACCAGTTTAAGGGGTATCCACTCCTAGATGAGCACGTGCTAACCCCTAATTGGGATTGGCAGAACACGCCTGCACGGGGGTGGGTTCGATCCCAGGACCTCATCTATCGGAAGTGCCTCTTTCTACTGACTAGGCCTCTTTTGTCGTCGCTTTATAGTACGATTCTCTCGCTTGTCAAACCCTTTAAGAAGTGACAAAAACAGAACCTACAAGTTTACCCTTCCGACTTGATATAAGTACGGATGAAGCTGGTTACGATGGAGTCGAACAAGCCAAAAAACAAAAAGAGAGAGAGAGAGAGAGAATGTAGCCCATATAATTCACTTGGTAGCGCTCGGTAGCACAACCGACCGCTAAACAACGATACCGTAAGCACTAGACGACGCTACCGAGAACAATTAGGGCATGGCATAAAAAATATAAAACCCCTAGAGAACCTGGACGCAGTTTCGAGAGGGGTCAACCCTGAACACGGGAAAGGGCATTGTTTGTAGGGTTGATGCCTCCCGAGTCGTATCCCTTGTTGATTGGGTTTATTTGTTTTTTTCTTCAAGTGGGTGCAATATATTTTTTCCAAAATACTGGGCGGCTTTCCGTATTTAGGGTTAATCCTTCCCGGAATTCATCTACCGATAGGTTAGCTACGGGTTTTGTTTTTTTTTGCATGTGCTTTAATTTGTTTTGGAGTGACTGTATACAAAACTGAGATGACGGTTCTGAAGTTCGTCCGCCATAAAAGTCTGGACAAGTGTAGACGAAAAAAACACGCCTGATTGGCTACCAAGCTCCAAGATATCTGGAAACTCGTGTGTTGACCAATGATCGTGTGTTTTTACACGTCACCAAGGGTCGGATGGCAGGCGGACAAAGTCTGGAACCGTGACCTGAAACAGAATAGCTTCACACCATATCGCGAGAATGGGTTTCTGTTGGTGATTACACCTGAGAAGGCGCTCAGGAAAAATTTGAGTATCGGAGATAATGGCCGCTCCCAATTGTTTGGGCGCACATGTGATGCACGTCCAGGAGCTGTGGTGCTGGTGCAAGCTGTTGAGAAGGTGACACGCTAGCGCGCATTCCGCACCTCGGTCGCCACGCGGCGACACGTCTCACACGTGCGCAGTGAACTGCTTTGTGTTGGCAGACGTGGTTGTGGAGGTTGGCCCTGGCATAAACGACGCGCACTGTAGCACTGAGAATACCACGTGGCAAGTACTTTTCGCGCGTATTCCGGGTTCAGGCAAAGAGGTTTCGCGGGAGAGGCTGTTGCTGGCATCGCACGAGATTGACGAACCTCGCTGGCGTAGCGAGGTTTGCTTCTGCTGACACTCCGCGAGGCTGTTGCGTATCGGCGAAAGGCTTTGCACACTTGCTCATTTGCGGCGCCGATTCGCACGGTTTCGGATAAAATATGATCGCGAACAATTTCGTTGCGGTGTGCGACATCGAGCACCTTGCCTGATGATGTTTTCGTCAAGTAACCCGATGTTTTGGGAAGTGGCCAGAGATTCGTGCAATTTGGGCTTTCCCTGGGAACTTCCCTTTGATTTGATTCAATTTTCGCAAACTCCGCAACCACGCACTCACCTCGCTTCGTCGCCTCGCCTCGCCACCACTCCAAGCTGCTTTTGACCCAGTGTAACTCTTTCCGCTTCTCTCCGCTAATCCTCTCCTCCCCCACTTTCCACCCATCATTACCCAAACCAAGCCGTGACCCCTCACCTCACCCCTCTGCTTGTCCCCGTGCCCCACTAACAAACCAACTCGACCCCAAACCACGAGACAGACCATCAAGAGTAGCATGGCAGACCTGGCCCAAGCTGGTGCCTTGGCCGTTGGCACATTGCGATTCAAATTAGTAACAAGCGGTCTATAACATGACGAGGACGGGTTCTGACAGCATCAGCATGGAAATTCGCGGCACTATGTGTTAGAACCCACGTGCTATACGTTACTGCGTAGCAAGGTTCACCTATTACTGCTTACCCGTCATCTGATTTCACTCGGGAGCAAAGGACGCGGCGCCTTTTTCCACTCTGGAAAATCAACTCGATATAAGCAAGGCTTTGTCGCTCTTAGGTCCAATCGAGGCGGCTGACCTGTCCTGCTGGATGGGGGTCATGGCAGGTCCGCAAATTCACATCCACGTGTCGCCACCTGATTCGCCGCTCGACCTCTCAAGCCTCTCTTTCGCACTATCCAGCCCAAAATCCAAGACACCAGAGCCACAATCGCTACCACTCTCAGCCGCTCCGCTTTCTCCGCTAGCGGCGCCAGCAGCGTCGGCGGGCGCGGTTCCTCCGGGAGCAGTAGCTCTGACCAGCGGTTGCGGGCAGAAGTCTTTAAAACAGTCGCTATGCGCCGCGGTGCTGCGGCTCGTGCAGGAGGGCGTGGAGAGGGACGGCTACGGCAAGCAAGCCGTCGAGGCTCTGGGGAGACACTTCGCGTCGCTCCCTTCGCGGTACGCGCGCTTCGGCTTCCGGCTTTCACGACATACGCGCTCGCGTCGGTGTATTCGTCATCTTTTTGTTTCCCACTCTTGCCTATTTTGGATTTGAATTTCGTTCGCCGACTCACCGCGCCCCCTTCCGACTCCCCTTTACGCCCCCCTCTCCGCTCCCCATTCCGCCCCCCTTCCTGCTCCCTTTCCCTACTTCCCCCCCTCCACTTCCCCACTTTCTGCTCCCCACTCCGCCCCCACCCCATTGCCATTCCCCACCTGCGCGCACACGTGCCCGCCAGGTACGCTCTAAGCGTCGACCCGCACCGCCATGATGACGTCATGCTGCACATGCGGTTGATTAACGAGGTGCGCGACGCGAACCAGTCGGACCGCGACCACGGACCGATGGCGTGCGTGCGACGCGTGTGGCTGGGAGCCGCAAACATGCCGTCCAATCCCAGCACGCCAACACCACGCGCCGCTGCCGCTGCCGGTGGCGCTGCTGCTGACAGGGACAATTCCGGGCAGTCGGAACAAACGAAGCAGCAGCGACGGAAGCCGAGCAGCCAGCCGCGTCGCATTCCAAAGCCTATCTTCGGTTCCTCCGCAGCCCTCTCGTTGCTCTACGTTTGCAGCCCCACAGGGGCCGCGATGAACGCCGCAACTAACGCCGCCACATCCGCCGGCGGAACTCCAGGGTCCAACGGCGGCTCAAATAACCAGGTTACGAGACAGCTGTCAGGAAACGGACGGACAGGTGGCCAATTCTCATTGGCTGCGTGCGTCAACGCGAGCAGCGGAGGCGGGATGCGCGGAGAACGCGGCGTGCCCGCGCCCGTGCCAATTCCCAGAAGGAAATCGGGTGGCCAGCTAATAACGGTTACAAGGAATTCCACCTCCAGCCTTGAGGGGAGGAGCGCGGAGCGGGGCTCGGGATGCGCGCTTGGGGAGGCGGAGGGGGACGGCGCGCGGGGGAACGAGCAGCGGGGACTGTACGGGCGGAATGGGGGGGCGACATTTGACGAATTTGCAGGGAAAAGCGCAGAATCGGGGAGTCTGGGCGGAGGCATAGGGTCGTATGGGTCCTACGACCAAACTAGAAGCGCGGGTTCGAGTCTCCACGGGGACACTTTGGATGAAAACGAGGAAGGCGCGGGGAGAGGCGAGAGGGGAGGGTACGGATGGGAGGTGACGGTGGCGGCTCCTGATAGGCCGGGGCTGCTGACGTGTTTCACGAGCGCGCTGGGGAATGCTGGGCTGGAGTGGAACATTAGAGAGGCTCATGTGTTCAGCAGCAGTGATGGCATGGCGCTGCAGGTGTTTGTGGTGGCGCCTGATGGGGACCACCCCTTGCATGACGATGTGAGTCGCTGTGAGACGTATCAAAGCGAATATTGTATCAATCAGGTGACTATGTCCTTTCAGGCTTCAGCAGTGATGGCATGGCGCTGCAGGTGTTTGTGGTGGCGCCTGATGGCGACCACCCCTTGCATGACGATGTGAGTCGGAGAGCATAGGGATGCATGTTTGGTGGACCTATGAGCCCTCCTCTCAAGTCCAGACTCTGCAGTAGCTGCATGTGAGTGTGCGGTTGGACCAAGTGGCGGTGGCAGCAAAGCCCTTAACGCCTCCCCCTCTCCTTCACCTCCTTCCCTCACCCTCTCCCCGTCTTCCAATGCAGACGGTGGAGCTACAGGAGGCGGTGCAGGAGCTGCTGCGCGCCAAGTGGAAGGACCACGTGGCAGTGGCGGCACAGCCCTCAACTCCCCCCACCCCCCCTTTACCTCTCTGCACCCCTCTGCACCCCTCTGTCCCCTTCGCGCTGCCACTACCGCGTGCTCCCAGACGGTGGAGCTACAGGAGGCGGTGCAGGAGCTGTTGCGCGCCAAGTGGAGGGACCACGTGGCAGTGGCGGCGCGCACAGCAGAGCAGGTGCATCTCAGCAACCTCAGGGCCGTCGTGGACGCTCTCGCATACGAGGACTGGGCCGTGGATTACAGTGATGTGAGTGTGGCGCTTGTGGTTATAGCGAGGGAGGGGCTACTGTGATGCGAGTAACGTGAGAATCTTACAGGTTGACCCCAGAGGTGCACAGCAGAGCAGGTGCAGCTCAGCAACCTCAGGGCCGTCGTGGACGCCCTGGCGTATGAGGACTGGGCCGTGGACTACAGCGATGTGAGTGTGCTGTGTGTGACAATAACGAAGGGAGTGTGGCGTGTGACTGTATCGAGGTGCTGCTGTGATGTTGACCGGCATGTGACTTTTACGAGTTGACACTAGGGGCGCACAGAAAAGAGCAGGTGCAATGGAGCGACCTGAGGGCCGTGGTGTAAACCTCTCTTCCTTTCCCCACCCCCGCCCCTCCCCTCTCAAACCTCAGCTCGCCTTAGGTGAGAAGCTAGGCGGGGGCGCGTCAGGGCGGCTGCACCGGGGGACGTACCGCGGGCAGGAGGTGGCCGTCAAGGTGCTGCAGCTCGCTCCCCATGGGGGGGGCGCGCAGGGGGAGGGCGCACAGGGGGACGGCGCACCTGGGGGCGGTGGGGAGGGGACGGGGGGGATGGGCATGGGCGGCACGGTGTGTGGGACGCTGCGCAGTGCGACGGCGATGGAGCTGCTGCAGTGCTTTAAGCAGGAGGTCGCTATCATGAGGTGCGGCTCCCTTCCTTGCTCACTTCGTCACGTGCTCTGGTCTCTCACTCTTACTGCCTCTTCCTCCAAGTCCAGCTGTATGGTAAATGTTTTGAAATCAATTGAAAGACTCAATTGCTTCCCATGCTTCCCAAATTTCTCGCTTTTTGCCTTACCATTAATGCGATCAACCACACGTAGCACCTCCCTCCCTCTGCCATCCACGTCCCTCTCCCATGCACTTCCACACCTACCTTTCCCCAACTGTTGCTCTCTCCTGTATCCCACTGCTGGTATCCCCCTTACAGGATGGTTCGCCATAAGAATCTCGTGCAGTTTATTGGAGCCTGCTCCCACTGGCCCCGCCTCTTTATCGTCACAGAGCTCATGGCCAAAGGAAGGTGAGCAGCACAATTTGCTGCACCCGCGGCTGACTCACTCTTAGTAGTCGATTCAGAGGTCACTCTGACTAGTTCACGGCAGATGCCGTCAAAACTTCGTATCTTACTTGGCCATTCAACCGCTCTCGCACCTTCTTTCCCCCTCCCACCTCTTCTCTTCCCAGCTCTCAAGATTCTCCGAGATGCGGACATCTCAACCATCCTCGTCCTTCCCATCACCTCCCCTTCCCCACCCCACAACTCCAGCGTGAGGGACGTCCTGGACAGGCGAAGCATCGCCCTCTCCCTGCCAGCGCGCCTCAAGATTCTGCGCGATGCGGCCCGCGGGCTGGACTTCCTGCACCGCCGAGGCATCGTGCACCGCGACCTGAAAGCGGCTAACCTGCTCATTGATGAGAACGACGTGAGTGGGCCTACTTTTCTATTGTAAGGCTGCTTGCACCACTCTATCTGTCCTGGGGTAAGCAGCCCCCCAGGTTGGACTTTCTCCACCGCAGGGGCATCGTGCACCGTGACCTGAAAGCAGCTAACCTGCTCATTGACGAAAACGATGTGAGTCTCTTGTGACTTGATCTTTGTCCACACGCTGTCATCCCACCAGCAGAAAAGCCAATCAAAGCCCATTCCCTCTTACCCATCCTCTCTCCAACCCTTGTGCCACCCCCATCCCCAACGCCCCTCAGGTGGTGAAACTGTGTGATTTTGGTGTGGCGCGCATGCTGCCATCGCGGCAGCATGGGGGGCAGCTGAGGGGCGGGCCGGAGGGGGTGGGGCGTGCAGACATGACAGCGGAGACGGGGACATACCGGTGGATGGCGCCTGAAGTGATGGAGCACAGGGGGTATGACCAGCGCGCTGACGTGTTCTCCTTCGCCATCACCATGTGGTAAGTCCCAACATCGTAGGGGAGGTGGGAAAGGGGCACCAGACGCAGGGCATGGAACACAGGCGGGCAGACATGACAGCAGAGACGGGGACGTACCGGTGGATGGCGCCTGAGGTGATGGAGCACCGGGGGTACGACCAGCGAGCTGACGTCTTCTCCTTCGCCATCACCATGTGGTGAGCTCCTGGGGTGGGGGCAACAGGACACGGGGCAGTGGGCATAGGGTAGAGGGCACAGGGCATGGGATACTGAGCACAGGGCACAATAGCAGGGGTTTAATTGAGCTGATGGACGCAGCAGTGCATTGAACACTTCACAACCTTCGCCTTGCCTCTTCCCCTGTCGTCCTGCTCCCCCTCCCCTTATGACATGATCACAGGGAGGTGTTGACAGGTGACCTGCCATACTCGGGCCTCACGCCTCTGCAGGCTGCCATCGGCGTGCTTCAGAGGTGAGCCCGCTTGCCTTGCATTCGCTGCTGCTGTTGCTGCATTTCACGCAACTCAAAAGCGCAGAATGCCCCATCACCACCTCCTGCCCTTCCCACCTCTCCGTCTCCACTCATCTTTCTCTTTCCACACAGTCTCTTCACCCGGTCCCTTCACCCTTCCGAACCCTTCACCTACCGTGTTCACTCATCCTCTTAACCACCCTCGCCCTACCACCCCCAGGAATCTCCGACCGCCCATACCGCCCACACTCCCTCCTCCCATTGCCACGCTCATGGCTCGCTGCTGGGCGTCCGACCCCGCTGACAGAGCCGACTTCTCTGAGGTGAGCCGACGTAAAGACTTCTCTGGGCACAGAACAGAGTTACAGTAGTCCAACTAAATACACCCCTCTGTGTTGTTACTCCTCGCTCATGGCTCGCTGCTGGGCGTCCGACCCCGCTGATAGAGCTGACTTTTCCGAGGTGAGACTGTCAATTGATTCGTTTTCGCTTGACTTATCCACACCTGCCGGGCCTGCAAGCACCATGTAATGATACATCCACTCATTCACGCCCACCTGTACCCATCCATACCCATTCACACCCACCAGGTGCTGGCAGTGCTGGAGGCGTCCATCAAGGGAGTGTCCCCTGCCGCTCTCTGCTTGGGCCCTGATGCCGCCTCCCCTGCTGCTGCTGGGGGAGGAATCGCAGGGGGGGGAGCAGGGGTAGGAGGGGGAGGGGCAGGGGGTGTGGCAAGGGCGCGGGATTTGACAGGGGGAGGAGGGAGCTCTTCCTCTCTGGGCAGTTTGTTTCGCCGGTCCATCTTTGGGGCTGTCAAAAAACACTGAGGGGAGGAGGGGGGGGGCGGGGGAGGACAGTGGAACGAGGAGCAGCGAGGCAAGGAAGGAAACAAGACTTGATACTGGTACTCCCATCTGTAATGATCTGTCATGAACAGTTCAGAGGCATTCACGCACATGCATGTGTTGCAAGGCATGGCAGAGTCGCAGCCACAGCAGCACGCGAGCAGCAGCAAGATCCAGAAGTTGCAACTCACCAGCACTGAGCTGGGCAAGCATACTGTAGCCACCACCTTCACACATTCCTGGTGTAAAGCTGTCGCCATCCTGTAGCACAGTGATACGGTAGATTGACTTCATTCAAGGAAAGCCTCAGAGATGACTTGGCTTCATTCACACCCCAGTTCTTGTGATGTGTTGCACCAGATGTGCAAGAACCCCGAGTTGCTGATTAATCATGTGGCCTCAACATTAGCTGTCACAATTGCACGCAGACTGGCACTCATCTGCACAAAACGTCATTCCATGAGTTCCACAATTCAGACCACAGAATCCGAGCGATACCACTCTCACAACCTTCACGTGCATCTGGTATTTCAGTGTACCAAACCCATGCACAGGATCCCTAGAATGCAGGGCTCTATTGAAAGATAGCCCTGCAAGAGAAACCTGAGATTGTCAGCAAGAAGTGGCACCAGAACTACAAGCAGCAGCAACACTGAGGCATTGCGGTGAGGAAGGCAGGGGCAGCATCAGCATGCGCGCTTGATGGTCAGCAGCAGTGCGTTCAGCAGCAGTAGTTGGCAAGAACGCGGTAATAGACACGCTCGTCCCTGTGCTTGCCACTCTCCGCCGCTCCCACCAGCGCCAACTCCTGATGGCGGGCAATCACACCATGACACACGCACAATAACGAATTGACGTACGCATTCAGGCACGCACACATTAACACATGCTCTGAGTCAAGGCAAGCAAGGGCTTCTTTACGTTCACGAGGAAAAACGGGACAAAAACAGGCCGAATAATATAGAAAACAAAAGGAAGGGTGGTAGACGAGATGGGTTCACGATGCCGTGCCACCGCACCTTGACCATCCTGTGGCTGAGATTTATCCCCAGGCAGTGCAGCAGACGGCGCAGATCCTCCGACTGAGAGCAATGCGCAATGAGAACGGGGGCAAAGAGAACAGAAGTGTGAGATAGGAAGATCAGCAACTTTAGGAAAAGAGAACAGAAACTCAGTTGAAAATATGTAGTATGCGCCATGAGTGGCAGACAGCTTTTAGTGTCACCCCTGACCACTCCTCCGCTACCCAACCCATTTCCCCTCACCCCACTCCCATCTCTCCCACCCACCAACTCTCGCACCCCCCTGCACCCAAGCCCCTCCTCCCACATGTCCCTCATGAGGCACATACCTTGAGGTAGTCAGTGTGGTTGCGGTCAAACTGACGGAAGGCCTGTAGGCACGCAGAGAGTGCAGGCAAGGGGGGAAGGGGAGAGGGGGGGGGAGAGTGCAGGCACGGGGGGGGGGGAGAGTGCAGGCGAAGGGGAGAGAGAGTGCAGGCGGAGGGGAGGGAGAGTGCATGTAAGCAATATTCAGCGAAAACAGAACCACTCAAAGCAGCACGAGTCATCTTGTTACGTGGCAGTGTTAACTGTGATTCTTGGGGGAGTGATGCGAAAGAAGGTGTGATAGCAAACCAAATGACGAAAAGATGCAGGAGAAGCGTAAAGAAGAGATTGAAAAGAGCGCCAACGCAGCAAGAAGCGGTTGAGAGAAAGGGGCAAGGGGCAAGGAGCAAGGGGCGATGGGCAAGGGGCAAGGGGCAAGGGGCAAGGGGCAAGGGGCAAGGAGCAAAGAAGCAAGGGAGGGCGCAGGCCTTACAAGGACGAGATCAGACGAGGTCACAGAAGACTTGGGCCACGAGTCCTCCTCCTTCACCTCCTTCACCTCCTTTGTCTCCTTCTCATCCTTCGCCTCTTCCTTCGCCTCTTCCTTTGCCTTCTTCTCACCCTTCCCTTCCCCCTCCTCGCCTTCCTTCTCCTTCTTCTCCTCCTCTGTAACTGCTGCCGGCTTCTCTGCCGGCCCGATCAATACCGCTCCATCACTCGCCTTCTTCCCCTCTTCCACCGCTGCACCACCCTCCTCCATCGCCTCTCCCTTCACTTCCACCTGCTCCTCTTTCTTCACTGCCTCCTCTGCACTGGCTTTCTTGTCCGTCCCCTCATCCCCCTTCCTCTCCTCATCCTCCTCCATCTTCTCTTCCTTCTTCACTGAACCACCTTCCTCTCCCTCTTTCTTCTCCTCCTCAACCTCCATCTCAACATCCCCCTCCCCACCTTCCACCTTCACCCGTTTAGCTGCTGCCTCATCTCCACCTCCCTCACTCGTCTTCTCCCCCTTGCCGTCTCCCTCGTCGCTCTCCTTTGCCTTCTCCTTGGCTGCTTCGGCCTCCAGCCTGCGCTTGCGGCTCTCCCTCTCCCTCTCCCGCTCCTTCTCCCTCTCCTTCTCCCGCTCCCTCTCCCGCTCCTTCTCCTTAGCCCTCTTTGCAAGAGACAAGGGATACAAGAACTGGGGCAGGGAAACAGACAAGCACAAGCAAACGGGCAAGCACATCAGTAGAAAATGGAGTATGAGTCCAAAACAGTGAGCCAAAAAAGTGCCAAAAGTCAGACCCAAAAAGCAATCAAAAGTAACGGATCAACCAGGCCAATGCTATTGGGCAGACCCCCAAGCAAACGTGCCCTAAAGCCCACACCATGCACTTGGCACAAACATACTTCACATCCGTACTTGAAATCGAACCACCTGAACGACACCCATCCATGTTTTACATGCAGCTGACCTGCAGGTGCGTGAAGATGGTTCGGCCCGCGCGCTCCTGGATGTACTCGCTGATGCTCTCCGCCACCACCCCCAGCTGCAGTGCCGAGAGCACGGGCGGCATTGGGAACCGAGGAGACAGGAGAGAGACGGAGGGACGGGAGATGAGCGAGGTGATGGGTGGGAGGAAATAGCTGAGGAATCAAACCGTCAGATACTTGCAAGTGCTGCTGGGTCTACCCCCACATGGCTTAACAACCACTGGAGAAATCACAATTGCTCACTCACTGCCTGAACAACTACGGTGGTGAACCAAACTGGCAGAACACTGTACCGCACTGCACTGCACTGTAATGCACTGCGCAGCAAACAGGCACGTACCTCGAAGGAAGACTCGTCCCTGTCCTCCTCGTCATAGTCCAGCAGCCCATCCAGAGAGATGGTGAGGGTCTTCACCTGCCAACATGCACGAGACACAAAGAGAGGGACAAAAGGGTGAAGATCTCTGAGAATTCCCATAAGACACTCATTGTAGTCCAGCAGCCCATCCAGAGAGATGGTGAGGGTCTTCACCTGCCAACATGCAGAGCATGCAGAGAGAGGGACAAAAGGGCGAAGATTTCTAAGAATTCCCATAAGACACTCATTGTAGTCCAGCAGCCCATCCAGAGAGATGGTGAGGGTCTTCACCTGCCAACATGCAGTGCGTGCAGAGAGAATGAGCGAGGGTCAAAACACGTGCAGTGAGGATGCTGAGAAGAGCAGGAGGAGAGGAAATACATGGCAGATGAGAATTGGGCCTGATAAGAATCAGGAAAACAAACCTTGACGGTCTTGGAGCGTGAAGAAACCAGGATGAAGCCAGGATTGGTGATCTCCTTCTCCTTTGCCTTCTCCTTCTCCTCCTTCTCTTTCTTCTCCTTCTCCTCCTTTTCCTCCTTTTCCTTCTTTTCTTTCTCCTCTTTCTCTTTCTTCTCCTTCTCCTCTTTTTCCTTGTCCTTTTCCTCCCCTTCCTTCCCCGCTCCCTCCTTCGCCTCACTGCCCTCTGCCTTTTCTCCATCACCTGACCCCTCTGCTCCATCCTTCACCGCATCCGTTGCTGTTGCCTTGCCTGCCCCTGCAGAGTCGCCTTCCTTAGCCTTCTCCTTCTCCTTCTCCTTCTCCTTCTCCTTCTCCTTCTCTTTCTCCTTCTCATCCTTCTCCTTGTCCTTGTCACTTGTTTCCTTCTCCTTCTCACCTTTCTCCTTCTCCTTTCCGGTTTCCTCCTTTTCTTTCTCCTTTTCCTTCTCCTTTTCCTTCTCCTTCTCTTTCTCCCTTTCCTTCTCCTTCTCCTTCTCACGCTCCCTCCGTTCCTTGTCCCTCCTCTCCTTCTCCTTCCGCTCCTTCTCCTCAATCGCCTTCCTCTTCGCCTCCAGCTCTTTCACAGCCTCCTTCCAATCCTCCAGGCTCGGAAGGCACTCCGACAGGTTCGGCAAGAAGTAGACCACAGTTTCTAGGTGGGTCGGCTTGCCATGGCTATCAGATCTCATGTAAACCACCTGGTGGGCAGATAAGTTGTAGAAGAAAATAAGGGGAACGGAGAAAAAAACGGGGAGAGAGGGATAGACACGAGAGCGACAAGGCAGGAATGTGATGGGCGATCGGTGAGGAACAAGAAGGATGAGGGAAAGCACACCGAGAACCCAGAGTCAATGAGGTCAACTCGTGACAGAACCATATTAAGAGGGAAAGAGCTCACTCACATGAAGAAATTGGCGAGAGCAACACAGATTCAAGCTAGACAAGCTACTCACGTCGATAAGCCGCACCCAGTCCTTGCATGCGCTCAGATCCACACGCACTGTTGCCTTCACGAACCTGCCACAAAAACAATGTCTCAAACGAACAGGTGAGATGAGAAAGGCGCGCTTTGAGTGCTGCACACAACAAGCAACGGAGCATTGCCGCAAGTTGCAACAGGAGCTTCGACCACCATGGCATGAGATATGTGATGCTCCAGCCTGGCATGCTCGCATGCAAACCCATACCATGACATGAGATCTCTGAAGCTCCAGCCTGGCATGCTCGCATGCAAACCCATACTGTTGCATCAGAAAACCCCTGCACCCCCAGACCAACCATTGCATTTCCCTCGCACCTGATCGCAGCTCGCACGAGCCCAGAGTCCTCCTTGCTCGGATCCCCACCGTCCGTTTCCGCCTCCCATCGCCCGCCAATGGCTGAGATGGGGTCGCGGTCGCGGCGCATGCAGACGAATCGCAGTGCGTGGTTGGTATGGGGGGGGCGCTCGTGAGGCGAAGGGGGCTTGTCTGACGTGATCTGGGCCAGGGCTGGAGCGTCCAGGCCACTCATCATCAGCACCTGATGGGACGAGCGGGAAGGAAGCATGACTTGAAACGAAGCAACCCGTAAGGACGAGGGGGCGATGGAGAACGGAGGAATGGAGAGGGGGGGATTGGGGGGAAGGAGCGGTGGAGAGCGGCGTGGGACGACTGGGAAGTGTGGCGTTGCAGAATCTTTGCACTCCTCTTGCTGCTCGCGCATGCAGATGCCGCATTGCAGAGACAGACACACACCACACCCACTCAGCCCACACACACGCATACACACACCACACCAGGGACGTGGGGAATGGAGAGGAGTGCGTGGCGCTCTCACCTTGACAGTCCAGAGCATGGGCAGTTTAAGCCCAAAGGGAGCAGCAGCAGAGTGGGCAGGCGACGTGGCAAAGCCACAGCTCTCATTCGCCGTTGCCATAGACGTGTCTTGTGGAGCCGACTCCACAGCTGTCGCTGTCGCAACAGCATCAGCAGACTGCCCTGCAGGAGTGCCACTGCCGTCCTCTGCCATGCCCTGAACCTCACCCTTCACTTCTGTGACCTGTGCTCCCTCCTCTGGCTCTGCCTTCACTGCAGGGTCTCCCTTGATCGGGGTCGAGGCAGCGTTGACGGTCGCTGCAGCAGCAGGAGACGTTGATGCCGCAGCAGTGGTGGCAGCAGCGGTTGCAGAGTCGTCAGATTCTACCTCTACTGAGTCGTGCTCGAAGCTGATCCGGCCGTCCATCCATCCATTCATGGGCAGTGGGGAGTAGGAGTGGGCAGCGCAGCGCAGACACGCCACGCCACCACGCATAATGCACAGAACGCCATCGCAACAACAAGACCGGATTAGAAAAGAGAGCCGGCGGCTAAGCTTAGCTCTTGCAATCACAGGAGAGAGGAGTAGAGGATGAGGACGAAGATACGCATCGAGCATATGGAGCTCTCCGAGTGACAGTGGCAGCAGAGTACAGCGGAGCCAGCAGCTGGACTGAACCAACAGCCATCAGAACCAACAAGAACCAGGAGCTCAGTGGTAGCAGCTGAGGCTGGATGCATTGCGTCACTGAGAGAGTCATGCCCAGCAGCTTCTCCCACTCCTGGCTCTAGCATCGTACGTTGGCAGGAGATAAGACGGCAAGCGAACGAGCATGACAGGAACTGCACAGCAGCAACAGCGAGAATGCGACTGGGAGAAGCATACCTGACAGGAGTGAAGAGTGGCAGAGGCGTGGAGTGAGTGGGCCAAACCGCACGAGCCTGCACATGGGAAAGTAAGACAGGAGTTAGTTGGCAACAGGGAAGCACACATTGCAAGAGGCAGCCAGCACACCTTGCAAGAGCCAGCTGGCAAACAGAGGAACCCTTTTTAAGAGAAATATATATATATATATATATATATATATATATATATATATATATATATATATATATATATATATATATATATATATATATATATATATATATATATATATATATATATATATATATATATTTTTGGTGGGGGAAGGGGGCGTCGCAAGAATGCACACCTTGCAGAAGTCAGCCGGCACATAGAGGCGCGGGTAGCGCTTGCAGATGCTCAAGTACCCCCTCTCCACTTCCGCGAATGGGAACGGCTCGATCTGACAAGACATTGGGAGAAAGAAGGTGGTGGAGAGGGAGGGAAAACAATGGTTTCTAAGGCAGGGAGAAGAAGGATGTGCGGGGCAGAGAGCAAAGGAAAGCTGGACTGAAGCGTGTTTACAGGAGCTATGTCTGACGCTGACCAGAAAGAGGCGCAGTGCACTGCTGAAGGGAACAAGAAAGACGGACCTTGCAGGAGTAGGGGCGGTAGTAGTCACGGGGTGGGGACCTGCAGAGAGACACGGAAGGACAGCAGCAGAACACCAGTGCATCACGGAGATTAGCAACGTGATTACAGAAAAAAACAGCATATTTTAAACATCAAGCGAACAATTTGCCTCGATGCAAATGCCACACTGCACACATGTCCTGAACACTCTTCCAACTGTGTAAGAGACACAATGGCGAGCCACTTTGTGCGTATGGACCTGCTCACCTGTGCCTGTGATAGTCGCGCTCGTCCTTCCTAGCCGCTCCAGCAGCAGCCGCCTCCCTGCCGCCCCCTGCCTTCCTCCTCTCCTCCCGCTCCTTCTCCCTCTCCTTCTCCTTGTCCTTATCCCCATGGTCTCGCTCCTTCCTCTCCTTCTCACGAGCCCTCTCCCTTTCCTCCCTCTCCCTGATTCTCTCCCTATCCCGAGCCCGCTCACGCTCTCTCTCCCTCTCCCTCTCCCGCTCACGCTCCCTCGCCTTTTCCCTCTCGCGCTCCCTCTCCTTCTCTCTCTCCCTGTCCCGCTCCCTATCCTTGGGCCTATCCCTCTCACGCTCTCTCTCCGTAACAGCCGCCCTGTCCCTCCCAAACGCCCCTCGCTCCCTCTCCCCGCCCTTCCGCCACTCCTCCTCCCTCCCCCTCTCCACTTCCCGTTTCGGCCCAGCGTCGCGAGCCCCGGGCCAAGCCTTGCTGGTCTGGAATCCGGAGTCCGCACCGGGGCCGGAGGTTCGGCCAGCAGGGGCAGATGCCTTGGATGCAGCGAAGTCCCGGCCTGGAGCACCACGAGGACAGGCAGAGACTAAGAAACGTCAGGACGCATAACACGACCGACGATAGGAGGGCGAGGTGAGAAGAACGGGAGTGCATAAGCAGAGAAGACGGGGTAAATGGGATGGGCGGGCCGCAGGGATGTCGGAGGGAGAGGGGCGGGGAGTGGTGGAGAGAGAACGGGGGGTTGAGCGGAGGAGGAAAAGGGAGGGAGGGGGGGGGGATAGAAAGCATACCGTGGAAGCCTTGAGGCGTGGGATGCAGCTGAGAAAAACCCTGCGCCGGCACGTGCTGCTGCTGCTGTTGCTGCTGCATCTGCTGCTGCATCGCCACGGCCATCTGCTGCTGGAACGGGACGCTCCCCGCACCCATGCCGGACACGCCTCCCCCCATGGCAGCATACCCGGGACCCGCGGCAGTGAGCATCACAGGCGTGGCACCGCCGGCGGCAGCAGCGGCGTCGTATTGCACGCCTGTGGTGTATACGATCTGCCGCTGCCCTCCCCCCACTGATGCGGTCGTGGGCGCCGTCACCAGCAGCTGCTGTCCGTAGCCGTCAGTCGCCGTGTAGACGCTGCGGGGGAGGGGGGAGAGAAATGACAAACAGGGGGAGGAAGCAACGAGGATGCACGAGAGACAACGCTGTGAAGGTAGCTCTTCGGGACGTCACGTTCGAGGAGAGTTGCGGATCTGGAGAGAAGGACTAATATTTGCAAACAACGGAACGCTCAGCATGCGAAGAAACGCTTACCGCTGCTGCGCTGCAGCTGCCTGCTGCTGCGTCGCCATGGCCTGCTGCATGGACGCCGCTGCTGCTGCCAGCCCGATGGCCGACGCTCCCCCCGCGCCCTGCTGCTGCTGGTACTGCTGTCATCAACACGCAGAACAGAAGCACAGTGGAGTTCCCATTAGAGATCCTGCTGCTGGTACTGCTGCTGGTACTGCTGTCATATTCAATGACAGAAATCCTCTTCACTGGTGTTGTAAGCGCATGTTTTATACCATGTGAAGCTATATGAAGTCATAATGGCAAGACGCAGAAGTGACGCAAAGCAGACGCGCGAAGGGGGCACAACGCGAGAATAGATTCCCACAGTTGCTGCATCGCGATAATAAGCTCCCGTCTTCTTACCGTTGATGACGCGTCCTGATAGTAGGCCCCCGTCTTAGGGTCGAAGCTGAACGTCCCTCCAGCGGCGGCCGGAGTAGCAGCAGTCGTCCCCACGCCGTAACCACCGTACGCGGAAGCACCGCCGGCGGTTCCCGCACCGCTGGAGATATCGAGGCCGTAGGCTGCAGCGACTGCCTGCGCGCCGGCGGAATACTTGGACGTTCCGTCGACCGTGGTGGCGAAGGAGGAGAGCGAGGAATAAGGGGTGGCCTGTTACAACGCGGGGAGAAATCGGATACGGGTGAAGGAGGAAGAAAAAGAGGAGGACCAGGAGGAGGGATCATCAAAGTGGCTGCGAGGAAGGAGGTAATGACAGGCGGACGGTGAGAGGCGACGGACGGATGACGAGAAGAGTCAGACGCCTGTCGAAAAACGCGTGAATTCTGGACAAAAATATTGGAATAACCGCTACAAACTCAGGAAAAATGCAACCGATACATAGTCGAATGTTCTCTGTAATACATACCGACGCAGCCGAAGCTCCCTGGGTGTAAGAGACCTGCTGCTGCTGTCCCGCTTGCTGCGCTTGCTGCTGTTGCTGCGCCTGGGTTCCATAACCAGCAAGCGACTGGTACGTGTAGTACTGGCCAGTCCCTCCTGCTGAAGCAGGCGTAGCGGATGCCACCTGCTGTTGCTGCTGCTGCTCAATGGAAGATCAGACAAAAAAATCCACCAGGAAACCAAGAAAAGTTGGAACATCAAAAGTCCATCAGCATTCTGAGGCTGAGATCCAGCTCGCAGTCAATTTCAGTGGAATCATTGGTCTGAAACAAAGAGAGGATGCCATAGCAAACGACATGATGGGAACAAGTACTGTCAGGGACTTACTTGCGTCAGCTGTTGCAAAGAATAACCCTGCTGCAAAATTGCGAGAAAAATAAGGCAACAGAAACCTTTCAGAGTTAGGACATGCGCAAGCTAGGTAAAAAACCTTTATGGTGGGCATAAAAATACCATAATGTCTACGAACGCAAGGAGTATTAGAAATAGGCGTCTAGAATCAGAGATTATGTGAACATCGATATCGATCTACAACTCAAGCTCCAGATCCACGAACAACTGAACCCTAGATAAGAAACCGACAATAATGGTGGGGTGAATCTACAAACAACGTGTCAGATTCGAATATTATGAGCACCTGGGAGTACTGCGAGGCCCCTCCGCCAGCCACGGAACTCCTCCAAGAATCCATGGCGAAGCGAGCCTACTATTGCGCGCTACAACACGCAAGCGCCAATTCGGAGACGTGAACGATGGTCAGCGATCCTAGGTTACGGAATGGTATGCGAGAGACAACCAAGAATCAGAACCCTGATCTGGTCTGGTCTGGGAATTAGTTTTTGACCTTGGGATTTGACAGAACCCTTCTGCGCTTTGTTCTACGCGTTCCCTGACTGGTTTGACGAAAACGAGTATAACAGCAGAATATTATATACACTCACAACATATACCACCTTTTTCAAGCTGCAACATTGGACAAGAATGGAAATTTGTAAGCAGCTCAAATGGAAGGCCTGCTATGGCAGCCATGAGCCAAACCTTATTACAGGCGTACCAGAACATCACTTAAACCGCATGTCCACTACAGGATCCACCCGCACCCTGAGCGCCCCATTCAAGTTCTGCATCCAACCCCCAATCAGCCCATCAAAACTACCAGAAGCGCTATCAGATCAGAGTCACCACCTGCAGGAGAATTACTCAGCCTCTAGGACCTGCATTGTTGACAGCCATCTTGGGATGATTCCCCCTTGTTGCTCTATTTATTAACAGTTTCCCCCCTCTGCAAAAACTTGCACCTTAAATCGTGAAGCACGTTCACTATGTATCACTTTGTGAACCCGACTCTCCTCCCTGAATCTTCATTGCCCTGCATCTTGGTGCTGCTCCTTGCGAACTTCTATCGCGTGCAGACGTCCTAAACACCGTTCTTTCTTTGCTTCAAGCCTAGAAATCTTGCTGTCAACACGTGAAATCTTCTCTCTCAACTCATCCTCCTCCGACCGTAGGTTGAGAGGCTGGGGAGGAGGTGTTTGCGGTCTTGTCCTTCTGATTCCCTGAGACCCACCAAAGAAGCAGGGAGAGGGGTACGGATTGACGGAATTACCACAGTTCAGAACTCCCAGGTCAAACTACAAGTGAATGCGAGACATTGTTGCCTGCCGGAAAAACTGCAGAATTTCGCCATTCACGCTCTGATGGTCGCCCAAGTTTCACTCACAGTGAGTGAGAGAATGATTTGCGTACCGCTGTTCCAACAACAATTTGACAGATGGTAACGGAAGCGCATCCCAACTCACCGATCCATAAGGATCCATGGAAAAGTGGTTTTTCCTGCTAATGCCCGCGGATGTTGCCTGATGCTGCTGTTATTGCTGCTGCTGGTGCTGCTGAATGCAACCTCAAGACAGAAATTAAACGGAACAAGGCCGAAATAGACACTAAGACTCATCTAGCGGCCAAACAGCAGCAAGTAAACAAGATGGACAGGGCCGGCCAAAGTGAATAATGTTGCGAACTCACGCGTAGCTAAATGGTTACATTTGTCAGGTGCTGAAACCCATCACTTTGCTACCACCGAAACAAAGAGAAGGAAGAACGAAATGGAAGGGCGAGCGAGTCCAGGCTCCACGCAAATAGCTATGGAAGGAGGCTATTACGCCAAAGCATTTATGGGCTCAACTTCGTTCGACGGCACCTACCTCACACTACAGTTGGTGCGTGGGTCCGTACCATACATCTTGCAGCGAATAGGGTCCGAACCGAACCAAATCTCGAGGTAGGGCCAACGTTGACTCGGCTGCTCGGAGAAGTGCTCTTATTCGATAGCAAATACAGTGTCGGTTGTACTTTACATGAACTCCTAGTTGTTTTAACATCATATTATTCCCGCCATGGAATGCATCATATTATTACTCACTCCCACATGGCATACATCATTCTAGGTGTCTACCACTGAGCTAGCCTCTCCTGCTGATCTCTTGTGAGTGCTCTTAATGGAATACATTTCCATAACTCGAGTCTTGTTCTGCGCCCACCACGTCTCCGCTTGTCGTTCAATAAAGCGTTTGCGGCTGCACCGACAGACACAACCACGGCACAGTTAGCACAAAATAGACACAAACACATGAATAAATGCTCTAGCTACCTACCAATGCCCACATGGTAATTTACACACCTGAATCGGACCCGTCTCAGCTCGGTTCCACCGCCAGGCAGTTTGGAAAGCGTGATGTACACCCCAGGCTCTGGCTGCTCCACCCACTCGTTATCATGCAGCTTGCGCGTCGACTTCCGGCTTCCTCCCTTGCCCTCCCCACGCCTACTCGAACTCGTTGACCCGGCTTCGCTCTGTGACCCATCCCTGTCATCACCACCCCCAGAGTCCGCCCCTCTACCCTCCTCCTCACACTCAGCAATCCCGTCCAATCCATGCATGCGAACTGCCTCCTCAGAAAACATGCCTGGATGCTCCTCACTTCCTGCTGCTTCTGCAGCCCTCCCAGCAGCACCATCAGCAGCACTTACAGCACTGCCAGAACCGGCCATGCCCGCCTTGTCCATGCCATTGATTGACAGCCTCCCATGCAGTTCCTGCTCGGCGTGTGGGTTTGCAGACAGCAAGCCATCTGCTTGCCTCCCATACCTCCCTTCTTCCTCCTCATCCATCCCTTGCTCATCCCGCCCCGTGTTCTCTTGCACAGCTGCATGCCTAAAACTTGGTTCCACATTTCCAATTTCACCTCCTTGAGAATCAAAGCTCAGCTCTTGCCTAGTCGCATCAGTAGAACCTGCTTCCCTCACACCACTGCCGCCACCACTGCCGCCACCGTCAATTGACTCATCACCCGCACCCAGCGCAGCCTTCCCTTCCCCACCAACGTCCCTCTCCCCTCCCATCCCCGCCAATCTACCAAGCAGATTCTCACTCGGCCGCCCATTCCGCTCCTGAACCAAACTCTCCCTCCCTCCGCCCAGACTCTCTCTCATCCCACCCACACTGCTTCTGCTGCTCAGCCCAGGCGCAGCAGGCAGGCTCCTCCTGCTGCTGGGGCCAGGTACATGAGGCACATGAGGAGGCACAGCTGCATTGGGAGCCAGTGCTCCCACAGAGACACCCACAGGGACGCGCTCAGGAGTTGTTTCCCGCTGCCGCAGATGCGTCCACGACTCGTGCAGCCGCACCAGCGTCGGCACCATGCGACCCTTCCCCTCCTCCTGCTGCTGCTTCTCGCTGCTCTCCCCCCCTGGCGCCTCAAACACAGGCAGTGTCCGCCGCTCCTGCTTCTCCCCCATCATCCCTCCACCTGTACTACTACCAAGGTACCCGCCCTGTGACTCTCTCAGGCCGAGCGCATCCAGCTGAGCGCCTGAGCTCCCTCTCTCCGCACTCGCTTCTGTCCAGCGCGCTGCAGCATCAAAGGGCGAGCTTCCCCTGACCGAATCCCCCATTCCCACACTCTCACGTGCGCCCACATCCACACTGGAACCTCCCCTCAACACGTCCCCTCCCGCCACACCAGCAAACGAACCTGCTCCTCTCCCTGCTGCTGCAATCGCTGCTCCCTCTGTCGCTCTCCCCCCACTGATCCACTTGGAACGCGGTGAGATCTTATCAGACGAGGATCCAGTGGGGGTCCAAGGCACGCCCCCCTCTCGCTGCTCCTGTGCCCCATCCCCCTCACTGTGCCCCTCACGCGCCAAGGCTGCTCCTCCTGTGTTCCCCTGCCACGGGTGCTGCTGCTGGTGGTTTGGCACGGCAAGCACCAGCCCAGGGAACCCCTTGCCCCCGGCCTCCGCTCTGCTATAGCTACCCAGAGAGGAGGACACGTGGAAGCCTTTCGTTGGACGCGAGTTTGCAGTGACACTTCCTGGTGCTCCTGCCTGGAAAGCAGCACTTGCTTCTGCTGTTCCTGTGTCTGGTGCTGCCGCTGCTCCCGCTGCTCCTGCTGCTGTGCCTCCACCCCCTACCCTACACCCCTCAACACTCCCCACAGAAGCACCCGGAGCAGCAGTTGCAAGAGCAGGTGCAGCAGCAAGCACAGCACCACCGCTCCCTGAAACAGGCTGCGGTGGCAGCTCAACAAGCGACGGGGGCAGTGAGGAAGACGCCGACAGGAGCAGAGGACCCGTGTACAGCACAGAGTCATCAACGGCTCGGATCGCCAGGCTGGCTTGCTTCACCGGGATCAACGGCGCCTGCTGCAGCAGCTCCTGCATCTGGGCACACAGCACTTGGATGATGTCGCGTGCTCCTGCTGCCCTCGCGCCTGCTTCACTGGCTGCAGTTACTGCTGCCTCCACTTGCCTCTGGGCCAGCTCCAGTGTTGCCCTGCGCTCTTGCTCCAGCAGCTGACAGTGCTGCCGCAGCACCTCCACCTGCAGGGGGGACAGACACAGGCATGCCAGACAAGAAATGCAGGAGTGTTTGGATTCACTTCACTCACTGCCTCAATGCTTCCCCAAACACTTGCTCTGCCAGTAGATGCCAGTTTCTGGCGGAGCACCTCAATGCTGTGCCATCGTTTCAGCAATATGGTTACACGGAGACAGGCAGATGAAGAACATTGCTGGCCATGCACAGCGCACATGAGTAGAGCACGTGCGGCAACCCTCACTCACTTCATCCTGCAGGCGGTACGCCTCCCTCTCCGCGTTCTGCTTCGCATGTCGCATGCCCGCCATTGCTGTGTCTCTCTCTGCCTCCGATGCTGCCCCGCCTGCCCCACACACACCAGACACATCCATGAACAGTGAAGAAGAGAAGAGCGTTGAGAAGTGAAGAAGAAGAGAAGAGCGTTGAAGGTGCAGACCCCATGACAGAAGTAGCACAACAGAAACGTGAATGGACTCTTATTGAGAATGAGATGGAGGGCTGTCATCCAAAGCTACACTCACCTTCCTCCAACGCTTTTGTCATAGCCGCCCATCCTCCTGCTTCTCCTCCTTCCACCCCACCCGCCCCTGCCCCTGCCGCTGCACCTCCCACTCCGCCCACCCTCCCCATCGACAACCCTCCTCTCATCCCTCCCCCCCCAGGCAGCGCCACAACGCCTCCAAATCCCCCCACGGCCCCCATCCCCCCCACCCCTCCAATCCCCCCTGGTCCCACCTGCCCTGCCGCCACAGCTGCTGCTGCGATGGAGGCAGGAGAGGGGCCAGGCACACGCCCTGCCATTGCAGCAGCCATGGCTGCAGCGGCTGCCGAAGCTATCTGAGCCGCGGTTGGGCTGGAGGCTCGGCGGAGCGGGCTCGTGCCCATGGACCGCCGGAGCATCGGGCTGGTTGACCTCTTCCCCGGGCCTTGGACCGAGCCTCGGAGCGACCGGCTGGTTCGGAGATGGGAGTCATCAGGTTTGCCGGGAGGTGAAGCGCTGGTGCGAAGGGGAGGAGAGGCGGAGTGGGCATGGGGAACAGCAGGAAGAGCGGGGAGGGAGGCTGAAACAGAGCTGTTGGAAGGGGGGAGGGCACGGGAGTGGGGGGCATGGGAGAGTCCCTGGGTTCCTTGTGAGGGACCTTGTGAGAGCCCTTGTGGGCGTGGTTGCTGCGACAGGTAAGAGGCGAAGGAGGTGGGGACGGCTATGGAGCTCCAGAGTGCAGGAAGGGTTTCGGTGCGAGCGCGGCGGAAGTTAGGAAGGCCGTCTGTAGAGGCCGACACAGATGGTGCATGGGATACAGGACCCCCTCCTGATACAACCCCTGCTGCTGCTGCTGCTGCTGCTGGTGCTGTTAATGATGATGGTGCTCCTGATGCTGCTCCAGAGGATATTGTAGCTGCCACGTCAGCCAGTGACGGGTCCAGCAGCTTGTCCACATCATTGGACGTGCGCGATCGCTGCCACATGGACTTGCTCCGAGACCGCCAGCTCATCGCAAGGCTCACAGGCGCAACGCTGCCTGCACCTGCTCCGGTACCCATCCCTGCCCCTCCTGCCAAACCTCCTCCTTCTGCATTCACCCCAATGCCACCAGTCTGACCTGCACCAGCTACCCCTCCCCCTACGCCTCCACCTGCCCCTGCTGCAACCGCCCCTGTCCCTCCTCCTCCCAGCCCACCCACACCACCCACAATCCCATGCCCCACACCACCACCACCTGCTGCCGCAGCCGCTGCAGCACTCCCCACAGCAGCCCCAGCAGCGGCAGCTGCAGCAGCTTTAATCATCTTGGCATGGCAGGAGTCGCACACGCGGTACGGCCGGGAGGAGGACGGGGCCATGGCGGCCCCCAGCAGCTTGCGGCTGCTACAGCCATGGCACACGGGCTGCCCACAGTTGTAGCAGCTGTGGCGCGGGCGCGCAAAGGTGAACGGCTGGCGGCACTGGTTGCACTGGTAGTTGTCGGCGCCTGAGAATGGCTTGTGCTGACACACCACCGCAGTGCTGGCCGCTCCACAGGACACCTGGTCATAAGGAAGGGGGAAGGCGCGTGGGGCGAGATGGAGAGAAGCAGGCCAATGCGAAAGCGTATGGTGGGATTGAAGGACTTGAAGCAGGAAAAAAGAGAGTGGGACTGTGGGAGAGAGACGGAGAGAGGGGGAGGGAGAAAACGCACATGGCAGCAAGCAGCAAGGGAGCAACTCACCACAGGGGTACAGCTTACCAGCAGCACGCGTCTGTCTTTGAGGGCAGTGACAGCGGTGGGCACGTCTCTGTCCTTCACGTCCCCATGACCCAGACGACCGTTGGCGCCCCTGCCCCACGTGTACAGGTGCGCTGTGGAGGTGAGAGCTGCCACGTGGTGTGCCCCACACGCCACCTGCTCCACCTGCTTCTGCTGCAACGGGCCTGCCACTCGAGCTGCACGGGAGAATGGGGGGGGGAAGAGGTGGGGTTTGAGTTGACTCAGAGGCTGTTGGCGCCCCTGCCCCCACGTGTACAGGTGCGCTGTGGTGGTGAGTGCTGCCAAGTGGTGTGCCCCACACGCCACCTGCTCCACCTGCTTCTGCTGCAACGGGCCCGCCACTCTAGCTAGAGGAAAAATAGTGGTGGAAAGGCGTGGGGAGAAAGGAGGCGTGCATGCCGACAAGTGGGGAAGAGTTGGATTGAAAGCACATAAGATACCATGTGATGTGCCCCGCACACCACCTGCTTCACAGCAGCAGCAACAGCAGCACGCACAGCAGTACGCACCTGGCAGCTTGCCATCAGCTTGAGGGTTACCCAGCTGCCCATATTCCGCACTGCCCCACGTGTACACCTGCCCTGCTGCTGTCACCGCCACTGTCACGCTCTCCCCACATGCCACCTGGGGGAGACAACCAGATGGCGACCACACAGCCAGACAGCAGACGGACAACAGGAACAGCGGGCGGGGGGGGGGGGGGGGAGGAGGGAAGCACGAGGATCCACGTTAGACGAGAGACAATCTAAATGTGTGACCATCGCACATGTAAACACCAATACGATTGCCCAAAACCCCAAGGAAGCACGGACCTGAGAGCAGCTCTCGTGGCGCAGGGCATTGACCAGAGTCGGCAGCAGCTGCTGCTGCTTGTCCCCATGGCCCAGCTTGTACCCATCCCCATCGCCCCATGTAAACACCTGCCCACAGCCCCCCGTGCCGCTGCTGCTGCTGCTACTGCCCCCATCGCCTGACTGGCCTGTGTCCACCACTGCAGCAGTGTGCCACACCCCACACGCCACTCTTAGGGTTCGGTAGCCCTGCAGTGCCTGCACTTGCCTGGGCACTGGGACAATCCTGTGAAGGGTTTAGAGTACGGGGAGAGGGAAGTGGGGGGACAGTGGCTCTGTGAACGAGGGGATGGATCAGTGTATGGTTCAGAAGGGAAAGCAATTCAAAGTATGCTAGCTTGATGTCTGGCACGCATGCATTAAGAATGGTGGGCCCTGTGTGTGAAAGGAGATGATAGGCACAGGAATGAGTGTAGTGTATCAGTCAGACGTGCGCCAGAGACGTGGAAAATCTGTGCCAAACTCGTGGCAAACCCACACCATCCCCATCCCATGCATCAATGATTGAAGAAGTAAACTCACTCGCAGTCGCCATGCCCCAGAGCGCCAAACGTGCCGTCACCAAACGTGAACACCTCCCCTCCAGCCGCCACCACCGCCACGTGCCAGGGCCCACACGCGACCTGCACCACATGCACCCCATCCAGAGGCCCGCCCAGCCTGCGCGGCACCCACTGGGGCATGTCCCCATACCCGCCCGATCCCAGCAGCCCCTGGCACCTGCGCCCGTCCCCCCATATGTACACATCGCCCCCTCGTGTGAGGGCGCACGTGAAGTGCTTCCCACACGCCACCTGATCCACCCTTAAACCCCCCAACGCCTCTACCAGCTGCGGATGCTCCACGTCCTTCTCAACGCCCTGCCCCAGCCTCCCCCCGGACTCCTCCCCCCAGCACAGCACCTCCCCCTGCCGCGTCACCAGCGCTGCATGCTCTTCCGCGCACGCCACTCTGCATATATCCAGCACTACTCCCGATTCCAGCGCTTTCGGTGCCACACTGTCGTATTCCGCCCCCATCGCCATCCTCTGCCCGCCCTTCTTTCTCATCCCGCCTCCCCCTAACGCGCCTTCCCCAAGCCCCTCCCCCCACATGAACAGATCCCCTAGCGCCTCCCCTCCCCCGTCCTCCCCCGCACTGCTGGTTGCACTCGGGTGACTCGCCACAACTGTAGCATCGGCCCACATTCCAGAGGGTGGTTTACCCTGAGAAACGGTTCCGGACTCTGTTCTACTGGAAGCAGCTGATTTGTCCCACCAGGACGAGGAGGACGAGGAGGTGGTGGACAGCACAGAACTCGCCCCAGGCCCAGCTGCCCCCGCTATAGTCACACTACTACTGGCACCCCCACCACCACCACCACCACCGCTCCCAACCCCTCCAACCCCACCACCAGCGCCACTATTCAACCCCTGAATCAACTGTGCATTGGCGGCGGAAACATGATTCACAGATTGCACGGAGAAGCCACTCAGAGAGGCGGTGTCTGAAGCGTCATCCCCATCACTGGAGCGGTCGTCTGCTGCTGGGTACGTTGAGATGTCCTGCGCTGACTTGGACGCTGGCATGAGCGCCACGTCTGGGCTCATTCTGTCTGGCGGACTGGCTGTCACGGACCCGCCTGCTTGCGGCTGAGCGGGGTGTGGAGCGGTGGAAGGGGATGGGGACAGAAAGGAAGTGTGTTGAGAGGACTTGGACCGGGGAAATGAGGCCCGCGCAACAACACGAATGCTGAGCGATTTATAGAGTTTCGTCGGGGTGAGATTGAGTAAAAAATAAAGTTTCAGAGGTAGTCTTTTCTATGTGCCCCATAAGCTACCTGATAGTCCTCCTGGGGCGCTTCATAAAGTACCTTACGGTCCACAGAGAAGAAGGGCGAGGAGTTGGGTGACCAGTCGGGTGTCCCTCTCTCTGCCGCCACCACCACCATGGCCTGCCTGCCCAGCCGCTCCGACTGCGTGCGGCGCTGCTTCTCCACGAGCGTGCCCAGCCCCACGAACCACATCTCCGCCTCGTCCGTGTCCTTGCAGATCTGCCAACCCACCACCACCCCCAGCGCCCCTACCACCCCCAGCACCCCCAGCACCACCACCACACAGCACCACCACACCACCACCCCCAGCACCACCACCACCAAGTAGAACCAGCAGCACAGGTCACCACACGGGGACCAGGTTTGAGAAATCTTAACCAGCAAAACACGCAAAGTTCGGATCACATTCCGCTGCTTCGCCCTCAGGCTGCTATCTAGACGAAGAGATGCTTGAGATCGAGCAAGCAGGCTCATGGAAACGAGAACGACAAGGCGCAGGCGCTTTTGAGTTTGTGCAAGGGGAGGGGAGGGCGGCGAGGGCGGGGAAGGAAGGGGAGGGAGGGGAGGGGAGGGGAGGGGAGGGGAGGGGAGGGGAGGGGAGGGGAGGGGAGGGGAGGGGAGGGGATGGGGGAAAGGGGAAGGGAGGGGAGGGGAGGGGAGGTGAGGGGAAGCGACGGGCGAGATCACGCATTCAGGCGTTCATGGGAACAAGAAGAACGAGGCGGTGGAGGTTTCGAAAGGACGAGGCAAGGTGCAAGGGGAGGGGACGAGACGTACGACGTCGATGGTTTGCCCGCCGTTGCAGAAGATTATTGAGAAGGACTGGTTCTCCTTGTCGGGCCTCAGGTGCCGGTGGAATATGGCCTGGTGGCACACACGCATGCACGCACACACACGCACGCACGCACGCACACACACGCACGCACGCACGCACGCACACGCGCGTATACACCCACGCACGCGCGTAGGCAGGAGGGGGAGGAGCTGGTGTTACGACGGACAGCAGGAAGCGCGAACTGAAGAGGTGCATTCGCGATATGGGGAATCAGAAACGGCTTCTGAGAGCTTTGAGACGTATCATCAAAAGAAGGCTGTAACTCACTGTCTTCTGGCCCCACGCGATGGTGCTGACTGCGGAAAGAGGAAGCGATTTCTCCCGGTCGCCAGAGAGATACACCAGCTCGGTCTCGTCCTGCCGCGCAAACGGAGGGAGGACGCGGGACACGCTCGCGGTAAGCCATGCAAATGCAGCGGTAAGCCATGCAAATGCAGCGGTAAGCCATGCAAATGTACCGATAGGTTCGGCGTCTCGGCGATCATTGCGTATCACTTCAACTCGCGATCGCATCTATGCTATATATGGAGCCTCATGACGGCCCATCCCCCCTTACGCAATCAGTTTAACAACATTTCGCATCCTCAACAAAGAGTAAGCCCCAAACAGCAACAGCCAGCGCCGAGCAGCAGAATGTGCGAATCTGAGAAGCCTTTTACGACGAAAAACGACAGACGATGCTACGGAAACGGATTAACGTACGGCAGAAAGACGGAAATAGCAGGCTCGCGGCCTTCCCAATCGGCCATACTTCAACAGTCGCGTCCCTTTCTTCATTGCGATGACCGCCTGCAAACAGGACGTCGGTACTCAAATAAGCAGCAATCCACGGAAACCCTAACGGCTGGCAGAATGGAAAGCAGCCAAACCCTAATCTGAGGATTCCCTGAAAACTGACCTGCTCTATATCACGGTCCGAGAACCCCCGCTTATAGCTATCAGCCACGCGAGGCTGACCCATGCCCTTTAGAGTCTTAGAGGACGGAATCATTCTGTGATGTAGTCTAAACACGTGTTAACCAGTCAAGATTAAGCGGTCTCTACCAGCCTACGACGATCCAGCTGCAAGTTAAGTCGTGCAGTGCACCGTGTACGCGATAAAGGTCCACTGCCCGAATGCATCCCGACGACGTAAAGTGCCGATTTACAAACTGTCAGAAACAATATCTATCAGAACGGCAGCGCGACAGGATGAATGAATTCAGGCGTCCACGCGTTGAAGTTAGGAGTAAGATCGACATGAGCAGCCAATGCATCACTCGGATGGAAGAAGCCTGGATCCTGACGCCACTCCTAAAAACTTTAAAAACCACTAAAATAGTCGGTAGAGAACGTGAGTGCGGACGAGTGGTGCATAGGATCCACTAGAAGTGTGCTTCGCCAGCGGAAGCTGGCCAGAAACTGTTTCGCTACAGGCTCACTGTCGGTGAGTGGATTCGGGCTGAGGGGGAACAGGATTACAGTAGTAGGAAAGGGAGGAGGACCAGGCAGGCAGCACACCCTTCTGGAATCTCAGAAACACTGTCGGTTGTCGATGACGGACGGACGACAGACGGAACGGGAAGCTGACGACAGCACGTTGACGGAACAACTGTTTGTCAATCCCGAGGGAGAAATGTGATTCGTTCCTGGTTGGCCAATTGGTGTGGCTGTGCCTCAAACGAATGTCATGCTGGGTCTGAACTTTGCAGGGCTAGGCCCGCGAAAACTGTGTCAGATGCCGTCATCACTCTAGTGTTTCACCGTTTTGAGCAATCTCGCTAAGATACACCAGCTAATGTTCGAAGCTCAGTACACGTATTCCAATTCTTAGACAACCCTACACCCGAAATCGATCAAGTAGCGGGGAGGATGTGCAGTGTGCTTGAAACTGAGGGCGTGTTCCAAATGGTGAAAGCCTACAGTTTCGTCATGTACAGCGCACTGGGCCGCTAGGGGTTGAGTGGGCCTCTTTGGCGATATGCCACCTTGACTTCAAAACACGGACCTTCAGAAGGATCTCTGGGCACGCACCAGCGTCCACAAAAAGCAAGTGCCTCGTGATATCTGGTCTGGTGATCATTGCAACTCTGACGTGTCGTCATCGCTTCGCTGTCGCCGGATTCAGCACATTGATTCGCTGGGGGGGTCAACGCAGCAATGGAGGAGGTGTGGTGTGCAATTTCAACGATAGAAAATTCTGTTGTCCCTCCCACTGAATGCTCTGCTGTATGTTTCTTTGGAGATTGTTTCCTGATTTCCTGACTGGACCAGAAATTGTTATTTTCCTGGACCAATATGGCTTTGATACACTGCGTGAATCGCTTCAGGTTCTTAAGCGCGTGGTCTAAACAGTTTTCGTGTGAGCTGTACAGACTACAGAGCCCTTTTTCGCCGTGCCCGTTCAATCGAGACGAGCACCCTCACTCCACTCCTCTTCATCGTCCGCCCACCCGCCCCCTGACCACGGGTCGCGAATCTCACGATGTCTTGCTCCCTGGAGGGCTGACCCTGAACTGAAACCACAGCAATGCACGTCCCTCGTGCTTCTTGGATTGAAAATTGGGCCATTTTTAACGGCATTCAACTTCTGCCAGCACGATTTTGCAGATGCATACAATAGACGGCCGTAGGGGGAATGAGGCTGACGGACTGTTATCTGCCCTCGGTCAGAAAAAAAAACCCATCTGGATGGCATGCGTTTGACTCAACCCTAAACACGGGTAACCGTCTATTGTATGCGTTTGCAAAGCTGCACGAGCAAGATTTGCATGCGTTAGGTAAAACCCGTTGAAAATTGCTCCTCCATTTCCATTCCACCAGCCACTCTTGTCCTGTCTGTCCTGAAACCCCCAACACGGCCATCCCATGAAGGACCGAACCATGTGAAGTATTTCACAAGCAGCCAAGAGTGAAGGACGTGTCTTCCCATAAGAAAGGACCTAAGGTGCCTAGACAGCCTGCTGGCCTGGGAAGTGAAGCGATCTGGGGGGCTTGAGCTTGGTGTTGTCCCAAACTCCACGATACGAGATAGTCCTTCATGGTAGAACTTGCGGACAGTGAGCCATACTTGCAATGAAAGCCCAACGATAGCCAGCAGCAACCGATATTCTCCTCACGTTCTCAGGGCGAAACCAGTACGAGCTTTCCTTGAATTCCTTCAGCGCAATTCCCCGAGGCCACTATCTAGCGACACCGACACGAAAAGAGGACAGATCGAGGGAATAGAACTTATTTATAGGTCTCATGTAACAGTAGTGAACCCGTAAGCTCCAATTACCTTGTAAGGACATGGAGACGCGCGAGAACAACTCGTTCTATACTTCTCATGGCCCCAATTTCCGCAGCACCGCTTCTCACGCCGCCACCAGTAGCATAACCGGCAGCGGCGGCGGCGGCGGTGGCGGTGGCGACGGCGGCGGCGGAGACGGTGTCGGTAGTGGCGCACGCAACGATGCCCGTCGCGCGGCCTCAACTCACAAGCTCGAGCCGCGACCAGCACGCGACGCGGGCGACGCGCGTCAGCTACCGATTGGACGTCGCGGCAATGACGTTAGTACCACCGCCACTGCCTCATCATCCCTCCTTGACCGCCGCAATCGCCGCTCTCTCGCCCCATTGGCCACTGGTGGATCTAGTACTATTACAGGCCGCGCCGTCAGAAAAGCGAACCCTAGCAGCAGCAGCAGCCGAAGCGCTCAGAGTAACGCCGCGCGCATCGCCAGCTCGTCGATCGGCGCGATTCACGGCGAGCCGGTTTCCGCGAGAGGAGTGCGCCGCGGTCCAGCCGTCTGGGAAGAGCAGCAGCCGTCAGGCAGCCGGTCGGCGCGCTACGTATCAGCCGTCAACGCTGACGATGACGACAGAATGCGCTATTCCCCACCACCCCCGCCGCTTCAACGCGAGCCGGGTCTTAAGGTCGCTAAGTCGCCCGGCGACAGCACATCACCTACGAGCGACGCGATAACGCCGCAATCCATGGCGAGTTTCGCGTCAAGACGGTCGGTTAACTCTCGCGCACGAAGCGGCCCGTTAGCGCCTCGACGGAGACCAAAACACGACGTCGCGGATCGCGACGTGAGAAATCGCGACGCGAGAGAACGCGACGTGGCGCGCTACGACGGGAGCGGTTCGCGATCTGCCAAGCTGGCGTACCTAACGGGATTACCGTGGACGCCGACAAGCGGTGCGAGCGGGGCGTTACCGTTGGAGAGCCCGAAGGACAGTCGCTCGATTCGTCGCATGAGGAGTGCGACGAACGTGCAGACTGAGCTGCGATCGAGCGACGCGTCGCCGAAGGCTGTGCGACGGAAGAAGCGGGTCAGCATTGACCTCCAACCCACGACGCTGGAACCCCCTTGCCATGACACCTCCACACTCCCCCTCCCCTCCTCCCCTTCCTCCTCCTCCTCCTCCTCTCACTCTCATGCCTCCCGCTCCCCTTCCTCTCGCGCTCTGCCCCAACCCGCGTCTTTTCCCCCGCCCCCTGTCTCGGTTCCTGTCGCTTCCGCCTCCTCCGACGCGCCCTCCCCCGATGCTGACAGCGCTGCGTCCGTTTCCCCGTCGCCGCGCCGCACACGCTGCTTGAACTCGTCTTCGATGCCCTTAGACCTCTTTTCGCCGTGTCGCATAGCGAGTACAAGCTTGTATCGACACCGGCCGAGCAAGAGCCACGGCGAAGGAGTGGAAAGCGGGAATTCTCGCAAACAGCCCTTCCCCCGCCCCTTGCTCTCTCCCCCGCTTCCGCTCCCCCCTTCCGACGAGTCTTCCGCCGTCCCCTCCCCTGAGTCTAAACACGGCGGAGCGGGCAGCGGAAGCGGGCGGAGCAGTAGCGCAGGCGGCGGAACCGGGGGCGGAACGGGGAGCGGAGAGGGCGGGGAAAGGGCGGGGAAGGGGGAGCGGCCGTGGCATGCGCCGATTGACCCGTCGCCAACCACCCCGCTGCAGCTGAAGCTGAGTCCTTCCGCGGGCGAAGAGGGGCGCGATGGGGAGACTGCAGGGAGGAGTGTCGCGCGGGTTGCGACGGAGGGGAGCGAAGGCGGAGCGTTGGAGGCACTGGGGGAAGAGTTTCCCGCGCCTTGCGCTTCCGCCGATTCGTTCTCCGGCGGAACTTGTAGCGGAGGCAGCGGGCGCGCTGCCGTACCTGCCCAGGTGAAATTATCTCTGCCCGGGTCTGGTTCTGTTGCTCCTCTTGACAAGAGGAGGAGGAAGAGGAGGAGGAGGAGGAAGAGGAGAAGGAGGAGGAGGAGAAGGAAGAGGAGGAAGGGGAAGACGTGGAAGCAGAAGAGGAGGAGGCGGAGGTAAGATTGGAGAGTGTGGGAGCAAGTGGGGATAGGGATGAGAAGGGGGAGCATTTAGGTGAAGTGGAGGAGGAGGAGGAGGAGTTGGAGGAGGAGAAGGAGGAGGAAGGGGACGGTGACAAAGGAATGCATACTGCTGCTGCTGCTGCTGCTGCTGAAGCTGCTGATGCTACAACGTGTGAAGCAGCTGCCAGCGTTTCTCCCCATGACCTAAGATCGGCGTCTGTGCCGGCTGCCATGGCTGAAGCACAGCCACACAGCAAACAGCATCACCACCGCTCCCGCTTCTTTCAATCCGCCTCCGGAAAACTCACCGCGTTTTTTCAAAAACTGCCCAAAAAACTGCCCAAGAACATCCAACTCCTGCCGTCCCCGCGTGGGGCGTCGGCACAAGCAGCCGCCCACGACGTGCGCCTCACGCCGCCCCAACCGCTCCTTCCCGTCAAGCCACTTGCCACTCCAGGCCACGCGCTGCCACCCGATGCCGTCCCAGCCCGCACCCTGGCGCCTGCGGAAGCTTCTCAGCAGGTGCAGCATAGCCGCATAAGTAAGCCGTTGGAGGAGGCTGGGCGGAGAGGTGAAGGGAAGGCGTGGCAGGAGTGGCAGGGGGAGGGCGAAGAGGAGGACGATGAGAGAAAGGGTAGAGAGGAGGAGGAGCGAGGGGGTAGTGTGGAGCAGGGTCAGACTGAACGGCGCGAGCAGAGTGCAGGCAGCCGCGAGAGTCCCTGCAGTGTGGTTACCAGCAGCAGTAGGGTTACCAGCAGTACTACCAGCAGTCGGGTTACCAGCAGCACACGGAGCAGAGATGGTAGTTATGGAAACAGCAACGCGTGCATTACAGAGGAAAAGGAAACCACAGCTGCTCCGCTTCAGTGTGCCTCCCAGTCAGCCGCTTGTGCTGCTGCTGCTGATGATGACGCTGCTCCCAGCAGCAGCACCACTGCTCCCACTGGTGCTGATTCCTTAAGTACTGCTTTACCTGCTGATTCTAAAAGCATCTCAGCTGCTGCTGCTGCTGCTTCTGCTGTTGCTGCTGCTGCCAATAGCACCACCGCCACTGGCGGTATTCTCAAGGGTGCACATTGGGGGCTGAGCCGGGCGGCAGATCATATCTTGGGGCAGGCGTACGAGGATCTGAGTGAGAGATACGCGGTGGAGGGGCGGCAGGTGGGCAGCGGGCAGTACGGCGTGATTCGGCGGTGTGTGGAGGAGGGCACGGGGCGCGTGTGGGCGTGCAAGACGATCGACAAGCGCAAGATCAAGGTGGGTCTGGTTTGGAGCTACTACATCGCAATGGGTGTTACCTTCTTTGTTCTTTCTTTTCTTTCTTTCTTACTTTCTTGCTTTTCTTGCTTTTCTTGCTTTTTTTTTTTCCCGGTCTTAAAAAGATCCACGTTGGTGCTGCGAAATACGACTACCACATATACATTCCCTCCCTCCTTCCTCCCCTCCTCCTTCCCCCTCCCTCTCCCACTCCCCACCAGACCTCAGCCCAAGCCAATGACCTGCGCAGCGAGGTGGCAACCCTACAGCTGCTGCACGGGCACCCATCAGTCATCACTCTCATCGATGCAGTTGAAGACTCCCACCACGTGCACCTGCTCATGGACCTCTGCTCGGGCGGCGATCTCTTCGACCGCATCTCGCTGGGCGGGCCGCTGAGCGAGCAGTGCGCGGCCGGCGTGTGTCGGCAGCTAGCGGAGGCGCTGCTGCACTGCCACCGGCGGGGCGTGGTGCATCGAGACGTCAAACCCGAGAATATCCTCCTCGTGGGCAGCCGAGGAGGTGCAAAAGCAGGAGAGAAAGGAGCAAAAGCAGGAGCGGAAGGAGGAGGAAACGGCAAGAGCCAAGACACCAAGGCTCCGCGGATCAAGCTCGTGGATTTCGGAATCGCGCGGTTCTTCCGAGACGGGGAGAAGATGCGCGACTGCCTCGGCACACCCGAGTACATGGCTCCAGAGCTGCTGCTCGGGTCGTACGGGCCTGAAGTGGACGTGTGGAGTGCGGGCGTGGTGACCTATGTGTCTATTTGCGGGCATCCGCCCTTCTGGGCCTCGGCGTCTATGGGCCAGTCGCTGCAGGAGGCGATTCTGACCAGGGATGTCACGTTTGCGACTCCTGGATGGGTGGGGGTTTCGGCGGGGTGTAAGGAGCTTATACGGAGGATGCTGCATAAGAATCCTCGGAAGAGGATCACTCTGCTGGAGGTGCTTGGTGAGTGCTGGTGGTTGCTATCAAGCACCCTTAGTAGTAGTACCAACCTTGGTTGCTATTAAGAATCCATCCTCCCTCCCGTGCCCAGTCGTGCTTACCAGTCGGGATCCCTGCCATTTACACCACTCGCTGTGTGCATGAAGCTCATGTGTACTCTTCCATTCTCCCCTCGCTTCGCCCTTCAATGCAGGTCACCCGTGGATACGCAGCAGCGAGAGCAGCTGACAGGGAGAGCAGCAGCACTGCGAGAAGCTGATATGGCAGCAAGGGGGTGATGATGCAGCAACGAGCAACAGATGGGCAAAAACACACAAGTCAACAGAAGTCAACACAAGTCAAGGACTTCACCTAGTCGCCGCCACTTCCACATTTACAAGTCATGCTATACTCATGCCGCTAAAATTAACAAGTTTACCGTAAACCGATGTGTTGTGTCATACATACCTAAGAGCCAGACCAGGAAGCTGTCCTGAGTGGTCTGTTGTGCTACCAGTATATGGTACTTAATTGTCAGAATGAGGAATGGATGATGCATTGATGTTGGTTGGGGTACATATAGCTAACCCTAAGTTTTGTACCCCCTAAGACAAACCTCACTATAGGCTACAACATTTGACACACCCCCATAGCCTAAGTGAGGGGTGTCTAGCAGAACCAAACGAGTACGGTCACAAGACCAGTCCAAGAAACGAAGCTCAGGGTGGATCACAACGTCACCACACAGTCTGAGCACAAACAACAGTGGCCACAAGGCCAGTCCAAGAAGTAACAGAGATATATAGAAAGCAAAGTAAACAGTACACTCAAGTCTAAGCAACACGAGAACCAGTGTCAACAAGGCCTAACTGCACACAGCACCTCTGGTGGTCACAAGGCGGAAGCGCCTTGGTGAAGATGTCTGCAGTGTTGGCCTCGGACTCCACAAACTCAAAGCGAGCCTGTCCACGCCTCTGCAACTCTCGCAGAAGAAAGTACCTGACGTGAATGTGCTTCACTCTGCTCTCCAGTCGTGGCTCTCGACAAAGGAGAATAGACGCCTTGTTGTCAGTGAACAAGGTCGGTGCAGAGCTCGGCCGCTCACCAAGGTCGGTGAGCAAGAAGGTCAACCAACGCAGCTCCTGTGCCGCCATGGCACCAGCGTAGATCTCAGCCTCAGCTGTAGAGGTCGAGACCGAAGAGGAGCGCGTGGACCGCCAGGAAACAGCTCTAGATTCCAGGCTGAAACAGTACCCCTGAGTAGACCTGTGAGTCTCAGCGTCGTCAGCGTAAGAGGAGTCACAGTGACCAGTAAGTACGACAGACTGCTGCCCTCCAAGAACTAGCCCCACGCCTGACGTCGTCGCTAGGTACTTCGCCACCCTCACAGCTGCTGTCCAGTGAACAGGACGGTGTCTCCCTGGCGCAACAAAGCGCGCAAGAACGCTGAGAGGGAAGGCGAGGTCCGGGCGAGTACAAGTCATCAGGTACATGAGGCAACCCACAAGCTCTGCGTAGGGACCACTAGGCTCGAACGGCTCGTCAGGAAAGGGTCCAGTGAGTCTGTGGTCAACAGCAAGAGGTGTGCGCTGTACTGTGGAGTGCTGAAGCCCGAATCGCTGAAGGACCTGCTGCACCATGTGCGACTGTGAAAGTGTAATGGTGCGAGCAGCTCTGTCCCTGGTGATCTGCAGGCCAAGGTAGTGGCGCAGCTCACCAAGATCAGTGCAGGTGTGTCTCTTCTGCAGTTCGGACTTCACGTGTGCCAAAGCAACCCTGTCAGGGGTGGCGAAAACAAGGTCGTCAACGTAGACCAGAACAAAGAAAGGTGTGGGGCCACGACGAACGAACAGCGACGGGTCAGCAGAAGACGGCTGGAACCCAAGGTCAGACAGGGTAGAACGCAGGGTGTCGTGCCACTCACGAGGAGCCTGACGAAGACCGTAAACCGGTCGCACTGGGTCCCAGGAGGGAAAGAGCCAGTGAAGGCAGAGGGACGACGCAACCAGACCTCCTCGTGAAGACTGCCCTGAAGGAAAGCAGTAGAGAAGTCGAGAGAGTGTAACTCGTAGTCTCTCTATGCTGCTACGTGTAGTAACACCCGAAGAGTGGTCATCTTCGGGGTGGGCGCGAAGGTCTGAAAGAAGTCAACTCCCTCGCGCTGACTGAAACCTCTAGCCACGTAGCGCGCCTTGAAGACCGGAGGAGATCCCGGTGGCCGCTTCACCCTGTAGATCCACATGCCGTCGACTACGTTCGCCCCCGGAGGGGGAACCTCATCGACGTAGGTGCCTGTGGATCTGTAGGAGGCCATCTCTGCGTCCATGGCAGCTCTCCACTGAGAGGCCCAAGGCCCTGACACTGCCTCAGCGTAAGTGCGAGGAGTCGGAATGTCAAGGGCGTCGGGGTCACCCTCAGGGGCGAGGAGCATGGCACAGAGATGAGGGGAAGCGGCGGCCAGGAACTCTAGCTCAAACTGCCTGTCCTCTAGGGCGTCACAGCCAAGGGCAGACACACCCCCGACGGCCAGAGGACTGGAAGGAGGAGCAGCCACAAGAGCGGTGGCGAAGTCAAGGCGGCGGGTAGAGGCAAACTCAGTGACTGCGGCAGTAAGAGCGGACACAGAGGACACAGAGGCACGAGGGTGGGTAACAAGAGAGGCGAGAACACGAGAGAGAACAAGACGGTACGTGCGGTAGTAGTCAGTGACAGGAGAAGGAAGCGACACAGTGAGGGCCGACTCAGGAGGAGACGGAAGCACAGACGGAGACGGACGAGGTGGACGAGAACAAAGGAAGGCTGTACGAAGGTCAGTGAAGGGAACAGGAGACGAGGGACGAGCACGAGGGGAGCGACGAGAGGCCCAAGTCTGAGAAGGAGGAGGAGACAACGAAGACTGAGAACGAGGGAAAACAGCGGGAGAGGGGTCAGGAGGAGGAAGCGGAGGACCAGAGATGGGAGGAGAGGGGGAGGAGGAAGGAGAGGGAGACGGGAGACCAAGGGTCCGAAGACCCGAGACAGGAGGAGGAGACGGCAGCTGCTACTGCTGCTGCTGCTGCTGCTGCTGCCGCGGCTGCTGTGGCTGCTGCTGCTCCAGCGGCTGCTGCCTCTGCTGCTGCTCCTGCTGCTGCTCCTGCTGCTGTCGCTCCTGCTCCTCGAGCCGCTGCAACTCTCTCTCCTCTCTCTCCAACTCCAGCTGCTCCTCACGAGCACGGCGAACACGAGCCTGGAACCTGGTCGGGTAGGGGTGGGGGGAAGGAGTAGTGTCCGGGGCAGCGGCAGCCCCAGAGTCGACCTCCGAAGCACCAAGCACACCACCCCCAGAGGCAGCACCAACACCAGCTCCAGACCCAGGCTCTCCAGAAACCGAAGGGACACCCTCACCCCCAGACGCAGCACCCCCAGACTCCGCACCAGCACCCCCAGACTCCGCACGACCAGTACCAGCCCCCGGAAGACAAGAGTCCTCTGCAACCCGCGGCTCAGCTCCAACTCCAGCACCCCCAGAACCAGAGACCTGTACAGGGACAGTCGCAGGACCAACCTCCCGAGAGGGAGCACCTGCAGGAGGCGGCGAGGAAGACTGTGGGGAGGGAGGCTGTACAGGGGGGGCTACCGAAGGGGGAGGGCTAGCCTGAGACACACCAGACGGGGCTGGACCAGGGGGGGGAGGCTGTACCGGGGGAGCAGGCGGGGGAGCGGCTGTCAGGAAGAGGGGGGGAGGAGGAACCAGGAGACCTCGACTGGGGTACCTGACGTAGTACGGGGTGGACTCCTCGAAACGGACGTCACGGGAGTCAAAGAACCGGTGAGAGGGAGGGTGGTAAAAGGTGAAGTCAGAGGAGTCCTCAGGGAAACCAAGGAAGACACAAGGAACGGCGCGAGGCGAGAGCTTGTCCGCGGAGGTGTCGCGGACAAGAGCCAAGCACCCCCAGACACGAAACCTCGACGCGACACCAGGGGACCCTGTCCAAAGACTGGTCGGTGAAGCCTCCGGCCGAGAGACGCGTGGCCAGAGGTTCAGCTGGTGCGCGGCGTACCTGACTGCGTATGGCCACAGGAAATGGGGGGCACGGGCGTGAGTCAAGGAGGTGCGGGCAATCTCCATGACCAGGCCTATGCGACGCTCAGCAACCCCATTCTGCTGTGGGGACTCCGGAAGCGTCCAGGACTGACGAATGCCCTGTTCGCGACAGAATCCAGCGAGAATGCCGGAGCGAAACTCGCCCCCGCGGTCGGAGTGGAGACAGCTGACACGACGACCACGAGTGTCCTGGGTGGTAAGCAACCACCTGATCAGCATAGAAGTCACCTCAGACTTCCTCGCCAGGGGGAACACTGTGGTATAGCGGGAGTAGTCGTCAACGACCACCAAAAAGAAACGCTCACGCTCAGGGCCAGGGCAAGGAGAGGGGCCCCAGACGTCCAAGTGCAGCGTCTCAAAAGGCTCGGTGGCCGGACGAAGGGAGGAGGAGTGAGGGGTGGCACGCAGCCTACCCTCGACGCAAGGACCGCACGGTGGTGCAAGGGACGGCGGCAGCGACGGCAAGACACGCGGGAGACCTAAGACCAGACGCTGACTAGACATAGCACGCAGACGTGGAAGAGAAGGGTGTCCCATCCGGTGGTGCCACAGAACGGTGGGGTGGGCAAGCGACCGACAGGAGCAAGACGCAGCGACTGGACTGGACGCGACAACCTGAGGGGACGGAACCACCTGGTGAGACGCAGGGAGGAGACTAGGGGGAGGGACAGGAACTGGGAGGAGTGGCTGCTGCGACGGCGGCCGCTGTGGCTGCGGCTGCTGCTGCTGCCGCTGCTGAGGCTGCTGCTGCTGCTGCTGCAGTCGCTGCTGAGCGCGCGGGCCAGTGTGAAGAGTGTAGAGACCGGAGCCCGGCTCAGCAGCAAAAGTGGCGAGAGGCTGGTAAGAGTCCCCGTCAACACACACCGCAGTCTCTCCAGAAGGCTCAAACCACACACCCACGTGCTGACTCACAAGGGGTCGCACGCCCACCAAGTTCCGGGAGAACGAGGGGACGTGAAACCCAGTGAGAGACCCAGAAGGAGCAGCCGGACACGGCAAGGTGGTAGTGTGACGCGCGGTGACTGGTCCCGAAGTGGGATCAGCCAGCGCCACAGAAACAGGCGCAGGAAGAGGCGTAAGTGTCGTGCTGTCACGAAAGAAGCAGTGAGAGGCTCCAGAGTCCAGCGTGAACGACAGCGAACCGTCCTCTGAGGTAGCCGCTGGACTAGAGTCTACACAAGAACCTACACTAGCAACAGGCAACTGAGCAAGGCTAGCACCTAAGCTAACAACACCAGAGTAAGCAGAGTCAGAAACACTAGAGTCAACAACAGCATACATAGCATGAGGAGCACCAATCAGATCAACTAACTGCTCAGCAGACATGCCCCACAGAGCGGAGCCGTAGCGCTGAACCAGAGGAAGCCAGTCAAGGGCAGGACCGCCAACCCCGTAGGCCAACCGGACCGTGTCAGTGAGCTGAGCAAAGCACTGACCAGGGGGGTGAAAGCGGCCACAAGGGTGGCCCCGACGAGGACCTGTCAGAACCTGATAGGTGCAGGGAGGGTAAGCAGCACCACGCTGGGGCTGACGCAGCCCCGACCCCGGAGCCAGCTGCTGACGCTGCTGCTGCTGAGGCTGCTGGGAGGAGAGGGGCTGCTGCTGCTGCTGAAGCCGCTGCTGACGCTGAGCCTGGTACCACGCCGCTGCTCCACCTAGCGGGGCCGGCAGTACAGGAGACGACTGACGAGCTCGGGTGTCGCCACCACCAGCAGGCGCAGTGGAGTCACCAGCCGCTGCACGAGAGGTCTCTCCAGACGCTGCACTCCCACCACCGCCAGTCGCAACAGCACCCCCACTACCTCCGCTACCTCCGCCTCCACCTCCACCAGAACCACCTTTCTTGCCCCCCTTGCCGCGGGACCGCGACGCAGTCGTAACAGCAGCTGCAGTCGCGTCAGTAGCGGCAGTGGCAAGAGAGGCAGTGAAGGTGGGTAACTGCGGGACTGTGCACCCGTGGAAGAGTGGGGGGGGCACAGCACCAGAGGCGGCAGCTACCGAGCGAAGGTTGCTCTCGACGTCCTTGAGCGCAGACTCAAGGACCTCAACTGTCAGCTCACTAGGGTGCTTCAGCAGGAGCGCGTCACGTACGGAGGCAAGGCGGTCAGGGAGGCTAGTGGCGATGAAATAGATAGTAATCGCCATGGGGGGAGGAAGCAGTGCAAGCTGTGCCTCAGTGCAAGCAGCGCGGTAACTAGCGTCGAGCGAGCGGAGGTGAGCGATCAAGTCAGCAGAGCGCTCAAACGAGGCGAGATCAGGAAACAGGAACGGGAGGAAAAGACGGCCAAGAGAGACAGTAGCGGGAGTAGAGTAGCGGGCCTTAATCGCAGTGAGGTACGCAGCAGCGGTGCGAACCTGAGTGAAGTGGACCTCCTCTGACTCAGGGAGGAGGCTGCTGAGTGCGATGCAGGCCGCAGCGTCACGCGACGTCCAAGCCGTCCTGTCAGCGCGCTGACGGGCAAAGCGAGCCGTAGCAGCATCGTCAGGGGCAGGACCTAAAGCGGCAGGCTCGGGGGGCTCGGGGAGGTCACCAGTAGCGTGCGACCAGAGGGTCTCGCCCCCCTGGACTTGACTCTCTAACAGACGGCGAGCGCGAAGGAGCCAGACGGAAAAGTCAAGAGGTCTGCCGTCAGCGTCGAAACGAAGAACTCGCGGAGTCGCCATAGCGAAAACTAACGCGAACGAGCAGGCGAGTAACAGCAGGAGGTAAGAGGCAAATTAGGGTTCAGGTGGGACTTAGTCGCAGCGGAAGAGCGGGCTAGAGCGACGGGCCAGGGCGTAGGGTCGACGGGACGGGGGAAAGGGCGGGCACGATGCGACGGGGCAGGGCGACGCGACGGGGGAGGGCGACGCGACGGGGTAGGGAGACGGGACGGGGCGACGGGACCGGGCAGGGCGACGGGACGGGACGGGGACGGGACGGGGCAGGGGCGACGGGACGGGACGGGGCGACGGGACGGGACGGGGCAGGGCCGCGGGACGGGACGGGACGGGACGGGACGGGGCAGGGCGACGGGACGGGACGGGGACGGGACGGGGCAGGGGCGACGGGACGGGACGGGGCGACGGGACGGGACGGGGCAGGGCGACGGGACGGGGCAGGGGCAACGGGACGGGGCAGGGCGACGTGACGGGGGGAAAGGGCGCGACGCGACGGTGGGAAAGGGCGCGACGCGACGGGGGGAAAGAGCGCGACGCGACGGGGGGAAAGGGCGCGACTCGACGGGGGGGAACGGGCGCGACGCAACGGGGGAAAAGGGCGCGACGTGACGGGGGGGAAAGGGCGCTAGGCGACGGGGGGAAGGGCGCTAGGCTCGGCACTAGGCGCGGTAACAACGGAACCGGTACGAACGAGAGGTAGGATCAGGCTCGGGAGATACGAACGGAGAACGGAGGAACGGGATCCCACAGGATCCTAACCTAACTGATACCATGTCAGAATGAGGAATGGATGATGCATTGATGTTGGTTGGGGTACATATAGCTAACCCTAAGTTTTGTACCCCCTAAGACAAACCTCACTATAGGCTACAACATTTGACATTAATATGTGCTTCAGTGCAGGAGAGTCCACTGAAACATCGCCATTGGTTGGGACTCACCTTACAAGTCACAGACCCCCCACCCCTAAAAGTGATAGCCCCCCTTAGGTTCAGGTTCAGACTCAACCCCTCAGCTTCAGGACAAATTTGGATAACCTGTAACTAATTATGTATACCGTCATCGCCCGGATATAAGACAGTGTTGAATAGTAGACAGGGGTTGTCTACTATACGGGTGTCTCTTATAAACAGGCTAGCCTTTTTATACGACACCTATTTGTGTGTACGAGATAAGACATAGTATATGTCTTATAATTAGAACCGGGGTTTAGGGGTTTTCTTATAAAGAGGGGGTGTCTTCTAAACGAACCTTTCTTACCGTAATCACCCGGACAAAACACCCCCCCGTAATAGTACACCCCCGGGTAGCTTGTGCGGGGGGGGTGCTATAGCCGACCTCGTTTGTACTATACCCCCCCTTTTGGGGTGATTCTCTATAACACCCCCCTTTTCTTACGAAACCCTATTATAGCTGTTATCGAGTCAGATTTTTTACGGGAGGATATGACGAAAATCGCTTCCTGAATGAAATTTCGCGTGCACTTTCACTTCGAATCTACCGAGATTCCCTCCCTTCCACAATCTCGCTGTCGCCACGCTGGCGAATCTTCCGCTGCACGTGGCCCGAGAGGTGAAACTCACATTCTCGCCAAAACGCGAATTCTCGCCTCAACCTGTGATGTTAAAACGACTATTGAAACACCCAAATTGTCTAATCAAACCTTTTTCTTACACTAAAAAGTGCCATATATAACCACCCGGGTATTATATAGGATTTTCCGTTGAGAGCACCCCCCCCCTTTTTTCCCTGTGGTTATCATAATACCCCCGGGTGTTATGTCCGGGTGATTACGGTACTTTAGGGGGGTACATCCATACATGCATGAATCTCTACTTCTACCTAACCCCCCTCGGTCACCGCCTCCTCTGGAGCACTAGCAACAGGCTCTACGCTCAAGTCTGGCACTCGCCAGGCATGCCTAGCCGTCTCCCTAGGCTCGATCATGCGGTCAGCCTCGGCCGCCGCTCCGCGGTAGTTGGGGGTCTCCTGGTACAGCACCTCCAGGCCAGTTGCCACGGCCACCTCCCGCACGCCCTCCGCCTGCAAACGTCCCCTCCTCCTCCTCCTCCTCCTCCTCCTCCTCCACCTCCTCCTCTGGAGCCTTCCCGAGCAGGCGCGTGTTGTCGCCAGTGGTCCCCCCGAGGGACATGTCCTCGGAGACATCGGTGGTGCTCCTGGCGCGCAGGTGAGACATCACCAGGTGGTTCTCCGTTCCGTCCAGCTTGCTGGAGATCCCACAGTGGCGGAACGCGTCGATGATGAACTGCCTGGGGACTTGATCCCAAGCCTCCGCGATCCACTGCAGCACCACGGGGTGCGGAGGCCTCCACAAGTTCCCTGGCGGGTGGGACAGAGGACACAGCAGCGAGATGTTAAAGACAAGGACACGGCACAGAACAGGAATTCGAAATGAACCGCCAACTCACCCTTCTTCGTCTTCAGGTGGATCCCTTCGCGCATGAACCACCGGGCGTAGCGCGCTCGCACGGCAGCCTGCTCCGGTTGATGGACCGGTTGATGGAGACGTCCAGGGGTTGAATCTGGCTCGTACAACCTGCTGGAATGACGGCAGGGGTGATGCTGTGCGTGCGGTACGACTGAAGCATGGTCTGGGTGATGTGGCCGCGGTAGGAGTCCAACACCAGCATCGCACGCCTCGCGGTCTTGCCGCGCTCCGGGTTCAGATGGGGCAGCACCTCCTTGCACAGCCAGGTCTGCACAGCGCTCTCGTCCATCCACCCGTTGTCCTGTGCTTGGACCACGATTACTGCCAGGCACACAAGGGACAGACGGGCATCAGCACAGTGGGGCACGCTCGCACGGCAAGGGCAAGGTTGAATTCATGGCGCTTACCGTCCGGAATTTCACAGTTGGGGACGTTCTTCATTTTGAACCACACCCACGGCCGCAGCTTCTCCCTGGATGCGGTGCACGCGAGCATCACCGTCAAGCGCGTCTTCTGGTAGCCTGCGGCGCGGATTGGGACCGAGCGCGCGCCACGGTGCTCGATCGTCCTCTCGGCCGGCATCTCCACGAACAGTGGCGTCTGGTCCGCGTTGATGATACGGACCAGGTCGATGTTCTGCCGCGCCCTGTTGATGCGCACGAACTTCCAGAAGGACTCGCAGTCCTTCGCGCACTCTGCAAATGGGACAGAAACAGAAGCGTGAAGGGGCGGTTAGACAACGAGCAAGGTAAGACATGCATGGGACGTGCGCGGCACAAACTCCTTATCCACTCACCTGCCGACAGACGTTGTCCGACCTTCGTTTTCACCAGGTTCCAGCGGTCACGGAAACGCTGGCTCCAGTGAGAGCTAGCGTTCCAGTTCTTGCCGGGGTAATGCTTCTTCATCCACTCGCGGCTCCACTTCTGGGTGTCCTTCACCGAGATGGCCACCCCGTTAGCGCGCTGAAGGCAGATGTAGCAGTACAACGCTGCCTCCATGTCGGGGTAGTGTGCGTGGCGGCCCCCCCCCGTGCATCCGCTTGCGGCAGTTAGCCGCGCCCTTGTAGATGCCCGCAGCCGCCTCCGCGCTCCAGCGTCTGATGCAGGTGACGCTCGCGGTGGACTCCACGCTTGTCTTCTTCAAGGAGCCGAGCTCCTTATAGCGGTGCGCCCACTTAAGCTTCTCACGCACGGTCCAGCCGCGGCGCTTCTTCGTGGTGTCTTTGCTGCGAGGGGAAGGTGGGCGGGTGTTGGGATTAGAGAGGGTGGGGTCCTTCGGCGACTCCTTCTCAGGGAACGTGGGAATCGGGCCCGCCGCCGCCTCGTACTCATCGTCGCTGCCCAACGCCTCGTTGACGATGATGTCGTCAGGATTCGGTGCCTTCTTCTCCTTTTTCCTAGCCGCACCCTTGCTGGATCCAGGGTCCCCGTCGTCCTTGCGCTTCTTGTTGCTTTTGCGGCAACGAGCAGGGGCCTTTGCAGGGGCCATAGCAGGGGACTTCGCAGGGGCTTCCACGACCTTTGCCTTTCCTTTCTCCGCAGCGGTAAGTAGGGGGCGACGCTCCTCCCCGGCACTGTCGTCGTCAGAAAGCACCACGCGGGCGCGCTTCGTGGTGGACTGCAGGCGATGGCGCAGCCTCCGCTTCAATAGCGGCACGTCGTCGTCTGTCTCAAGGCTCCACGGGTCGTCGTCGGTGCCCTCGCCGTCAAATAAGACGGCATCCGCAGCCACCTTTGTCCGCCTCCGCCACCGCGTCCGCATCCGTAGGCGCCTCTGTCTCGCGTTCCGCCTCCGCGTCGTCGGCAGCCACCGTCGCTTCCTGCGCCTCCGCGTTGTCACCGCCAGCATCTTCACCTCCGTCGTTGTCGGAATCACCAGCCCACCACTCTTCCACCTCGTCGTCGCTCCCGACCGGCTGATTCCACCATTCGTCCTCCTCAATGTCGGCAGGACCTAATTCGTCGCCCGAAGTGCTGTCATCGTGGCCGTTCTCCGGCCAATCCTCCTCCGCGTCGTCGCCTTGTGCATCGTCTCCGTCGTCCCCGTCACAGCTCGCACCGGAGGCGGCGGTAGGACTTCCCGCCTTGCTCGCGTTCTTCGCCATGGCTACGCGGATGTCATCGCCGGGCGAGTTAATTCGCCCGTAGTTATTCACCTGCACGTGAGGACGAGGTGAGGACTTGCCTAGGGGTACCTTGCTGCGCATGGTTAGAGAGCCTGCCGAGAGCAAGGTTGAGTCGAGCATTCAACCACCGTGAGCACCAAATGAAGCACGAGCCCGACTACCCCCCCCCAGCCAGAGTGCCCCATCCACAAGTGCCGAGCCGCTCCTCTACGAGGCATCTCCTCGTAGAGGACAACCCTGCTGCTGCCAACGTGCTGCCAGCAGCCTTCTGGAAGCTGCCATGCGCTGCTGGCAGCAAAACGACGCTGGCAGCATCATTACAGATGCTGCCAGCACAGAGGAATCTTGCCAGCGGTGGCAGCTTTGCTGCATCCCTCACGTGGCAAGTGTGGGCGGTGCATGCATCACCACCGAGGTCGGCCTGTTTCAATGAATCTGGTCCCTGGGTGTTTTCTACACACTTTGCAAGTGTTACAGTCAACTTATTTTTTTTTCCATTTATAAGACTTATAAGACACCCTAAACCATCCCGTTTACAAGATACATCAAGCATTTTTGCCCGTGTACGAGATAAGACATATATGTCTTATATCCGGGCGATGACGGTACCAAATCGAAGGGAGTCCAGGAGGATGCCTTCTACAGTATACGTTCTCGGTAAATCTACACGTTGTACAAACAAACTTGGTAACAACGCAATATGCAACAACACAATCCCTATTGGGGGGGTACCACAGGAGAACACGCAAGAAGCTGCAAGAAAGGCCACCTAGGGGCCTTAGGAGCATGTAGATCTTTAGAGAAGCATGTTCGCCTTTACATTTGCCTGCAGCATTTGATTTGCCTTTGCACGGTACCGTAGGTAGATGTCATGCTTTGACCTGTTCACGTGCAGCACACGCACGCGAGTCTAATACTTCCACTCCCAGGTGGCGCTGTTTGAGTCGAATAAGAGATCACACCAACACGTGCCGCACGCACGGGCACTTTCGCTAATTGTCTCTGAGAAACAGATGGGCTCTGTCAGGCCGCACAGGCATGCTGTGCGGACAGTCAGGACCAATTGACATGACTCAACGTTGCCTTGGCAAGCCCGCATGCATGCCTCCGCTGCACCTCACTTGCTTGCATGGCAGTGGCAGATTTCCAGGGTAAATTTCCCGGCGTGCCGCTTCAGATTTTGCACCCCGACTGGTGGTGAGAGGCGAGGGTGGGATGGGAACAAGGGTGGGGGGGAGAAGGTGGGCAAGGGAGGTGCGTTGGGTGGGAGCAGCAGAGACAGAAGGAACGGAAGTTCACACCAACTTCAACCAGAGACCTCTCGTGGTTATATAACTGCTCCAGTAGCTACTTTCATCATCTTCAGCACCTCGTTGCATCTACAGTACTTTGTTTGTCACATGTACAGTACCTCGTTGCAGTTGACGATGCCGAACTCGAGACCATCTATCAGCGCGCGGAAGCTGGCCTCCACTATGGATGAATGAGCTCCCACCTGGGAGGAGAGCAGGAGGAAGAGAAAGGGAGCGGGGGAAGAGGGTAGGAAGTAAGGCGAGGAAAGGGGACGATGCCAAACTCGAGACCATCTATGAGCGCCCGGAAACTGGCCTCCACGATGGATGAGTGCGCTCCCACCTGGGGAGGAGGGGGAGAGGAGGGCAGGGAGAGGAGGGCAGGGGACAATACGGACTCGAGTCCGTCTATGAGCGCGCGGAAACTGGCCTCCACGATGGATGAATGCGCTCCCACCTGGGAAGAGGGGCGAGGCAGAAGAAGGAGAGAAAGAGGGGAGAAGGGAGGGGTGCAGTTACATGTGACCGTGTGACCACTATGACCATGTGACCATGTGACCATGTGACCATGTGACCATGTGACCATGTGACCATGTGACCATGTGACCATGTGACCATGTGACCATGTGACCATGTGACCATGTGACCATGTGACCATGTGACCATGTGACCATGTGACCATGTGACCATGTGACCATGTGACCATGTGACCATGTGACCATGTGACCATGTGACCATGTGACCATGTGACCATGTGACCACTGTGACCATGTGACCATGTGACCCCTGACCAGCGGTTTCAGAAGTCGAAGGTGACGCCTGTGGTGGACATGGTGCCGCTGCCTCACCTCCATTCACCTCACCGTGCATCACCACATTGCACCGCACTGCACTGCACACCTACTGTGGTGCACGAGACCCCTGAGATTTTATCACACATGGCGACGCGTGTAGTGGACATGGTGCCATTGCGCCTCTAATCTCATGCCAACCCACGCCACACCACCAGATGGCACCACACTGCACCCAAAAGAACACCCTGAACCCACTCAGAATTTCCGTACCGTGGTCCAGGTGGCTCCTGTGCTCTTATCAGAGAAGTCGGTGGTGGCCCGCGTGGTGGACATGGTGCCGCTGCGCCTCTACCCTCAAACCAACCCACACCACACACCACCACACTCCACCCATTTAACACTGCAAACCAAACCGCCCAACCACACTGCACACCTACCGTGTTCCAGGTGGCTCCAGTGCTCTTATCAGAGAAGTCAATGGTGACCCGCGTGGTGGACATGGTGCCGCTGCGCCTCTCACCTCGTACGAACCCACATCCCACCACTCTCCTGCACCGCACTCCACCCAAGAGAAACACCCTGAAACCATGCAAACACCACTTACGGTGGTCCACGTGGCCCCCGAGCTCTTATCAGAGAAGTCAATGGTGACCCGCGTGGTGGACATGGTGCCGCTGCGCCTCTCAGAGGGTTCCAGCAGCCTCACTCGGTAGTCCACCAGCTCTACTTGGGAGAGCTGCGGGAAGTGGGGATCCAGTGAGGCCCTGCGCGGTTTGAAACGGTTCAAAGGAGAGAGTGGGGGGTTCAGGGAGTAGGGCGTGAGGTGCAGGGAATAGGGCCTCAGCGCCTCTCAGTGGGCTCCAGAAGTCGAACACGGTAGTCCACCAGCTCTACTTGCGATAACTGCGGGAAGTGGGGATCCAGCGAGGCCCTGCGCGGTTCAGAGCGGTACAGGGGGTTCAGTAAGGGGTTCAGGGAACAGGGTTGAGAGGTACAGGGTGTGAGGTTGAGGGCCTCTCACTGCGCCTCTCAGAGGGCTCCAGCAGCCTCACTCGGTAGTCCACTAGCTCTACTTGCGATAGCTGCGGGAAGTGGGGATCCAGCGAGGCCCTGCGCGGTTCAGAGCGGTTCCAAGGGGTTGGGGGTGGGTAACGAGTGCAGGAGGAAGGTCAGAGGGCTCCAGCAGGCGAACACGGTGGTCCACTAGTTGCACCTGGGTCAGCTGCGGGAAGTGGCGGTCCAGTGAGGCCCTGTGCGGTTCACAGCGGTTCCAAGGAGTGAGTGCGGGATCAGGGAACAAGTGTTTGAGAAGTACAAGTTTTGAGGGGTCAGAACAGCCTCAAGCGGAATAGAGGGGTTAGTGGGTGGAGCAAAGGGAAAGATGAGCAATAATCATGTCATAAACAGCACCCAACTCGTTACAGTCACACCCATTGCAGAACTAATTACATACAGTCACACTCACCGCAGGGCATGGTTGAGGGCGTCAACAGGCCCGTTCCCCTCCGCTGCACTCATCTGATGGCGGCAGCAGCAGGGGGAGTGGGGAAGAAGTGGGGAGGACACAGATGCAAGGGAGGGACGAGAGAGCATATGGGGTAGGAGCAGCAGGGCATGGTTGAGGGCGTCAACAGTCCCGTTGCCCTCCGCTGCACTCATCTGATGGCCGCAGGTTTTGGGATTGGGAGAGAGTGGGAGCAGGGAGGCAGCAGCAGGGGAGGAGCTTGAGCTGGAGGAGGTCAAAGAGATGGTTCCCTGTGTCCCGTCTCTTGGACCATGGGGATGCAGGGCACAGTTGATTCCATTGACTCGACTTGACCTGGTTTGACCTAACTGGACTTCGAGGAACCATAGGGATGATCCAAGGAAGTGTGGTGTTTGCTGTTGCTCCTGTTCACAAATCAAGCTTTGCACTAGAGGCCAAACCACGCCACCCGCACCGCCCATACCTGGCTGATGCCGCCCATACCTGGCTGATGCCGCCCATACCTGGCTGATGCCGCCCGCACCTGGCTGATGCCGCCCATACCTGGCTGATGCCGCCCGCACCTGGCTGATGCCGCCCATACCTGGCTGATTCCGCCCCTACCTGGCGGATTCCGCCCCTACCTGGCTGATTCCGCCCATACCTGGCTGATGCCGCCCACTTGGACCTTGACGATGGCCTGGCTGTTACAGCTGGCGCCCTCCATCCACTCACTCTCCGCCACCACCGCCGCCTCCTCCCTCTCACTCGCCCTCTCCCTCCTCCTCCTCTCCCTCCTCTCCCTTCCCTCCCCCTGCCTCCCCTCCACTCCTCCTTCCTCATCGCTCACATCGCTGCTCTCCCACCCGCTCTCTCCACTGCTGCTGCTGCTGCTGGTGCCTTTCATAGGCTGAGGCACGCCCAGGCGGTTGGTGGAGATGACTGAGAACTCCAACACGTGGAAGCTGGTGATTGGTGGGTGCGTGGGAGGGATGAGGGGAGTGGTTGCACGGAAGGGGGTTGGGGGAAGCAAAGGCGGTTGGTGGAGATGACTGAGGACTCCGTGGAAGCTTGTGATTGGTGGATGCATGGGCGGGTGGAATGGGGAAGGGGAGGGAAGAGAAGCGAAGGCAGTGGGCAGGCAGAGATGGCAGACAGCTGGAGCACGATCTTTGAGTGCAGCAGGTGAGGTGGAGCGATGAAGAAGACACAAATTTTGAGGCGCCTCAGAAGGAGACACAAGAGCAGGCGAAGCAACTCACGGGATCTGGTAGCGCGCCCCTCGCCGCACAATCAGCATATCCACCGAAGCAGCGGCATTCTCGAAGGCAAACCCTCTCGCCTCCATCTGCTTGATGCGCGCCAACACCCGCCCCGCCTCCTCCCTGCCCAGGTCAAGCCCCGCTCGCTCTGCCTTCTCGAGTATGTTGCCCCGGCCTGACAGGTCTGAGACCACGGACCGCATGGCATTGCCCACTAAGGAGGGGTCGCAGTGGTTGTAGCTCTCAGGCATCTGGTTTGGGGTAAGGAGGGGGGGAGGGGAGTGCAGTGCTGTGCGGTGGGTATAGCATCTTCCCAGCCTCCTCCTTCCCCAGATTCAGCCCCGCTTGCTCTGCCTTCTCAAGGATGTAACCGCGCCCTGACAGATCTGACACCACTGATCGCATGGCGTTGCCAACCAGGGCTGGGTCGCAGTGGTTAGCTCTCAGGCATCTGGTGGGAGAGGGGGGGAGAGGGGGGGGGGGGAGAGGGGGGGAGAGGGGGGGAGAGGTGGGGAGAGGGGGGGAGAGGGGGGGTTTCGGAATGAGCGTGGTGGAGTGACAGGTCTCAGAAGGCCCTGACAGGTCTGACACCACTGACCGCATGGCGTTGCCGATCAGAGAGGGGTTGCAGTGGTTGCAGCGCTAAGGCATCTGGGCAGGGTGGGGGAGGGGGATGGGTGGAACGTGGTTAAAATATTCTCAGAATGTCCTGAACGCCAAGCGTTGCTGACTCAAGAGGGGTCACAGTGGTTCTTCCCCTCACTGTATACCTTTCTGAGAGTAGCCACGTGGAATCCCCCCTTGTGGGCAAACGCGTTGGTGCCCAAAAACGGCTGGGCGGGGTTGGGCAGCTGACCTGGGTGGCGCTTTCAAGATACGTGCTATTAGACCGTGCTATTAGACCGTGCTATTAGACCGTGCTATTAGACCGTGCTATTAGACCGAGCTATTCGACCGTGCTATTAGACCGTGCTATTAGACCGTGCTATTAGACCGTGCTATTAGACCGTGCTATTAGACCGAACTATTCGACCGTGCTATTAGACCGAACTATTCGACCGTGCTATTAGACCGTGCTATTAGACCGTGCTATTAGACCGTGCTATTAGACTGTGCTATTAAACCGTGCTAAAAGATCTTGCTATTAGACCGTGCTATTAGACCGTGCTATTAGACCGTGCTATTAGACCGTGCTATTAGACCGTGCTATTAGACCGTGCTATTAGACCGTGCTATTAGACCGTGCTATTAGACCGTGCTATTAGACCGTGCTATTAGACCGTGCTATTAGACCGAGCTATTCGACCGTGCTATTAGACCGTGCTATTAGACCGTGCTATTAGACCGTGCTATTAGACTGTGCTATTAAACCGTGCTAAAAGATCTTGCTATTAGACCGTGCTATTAGACCGTGCTATTAGACCGTGCTATTAGACCGTGCTATTAGACCGTGCTATTAGACCGTGCTATTAGACCGTGCTATTAGACCGTGCTATTAGACCGTGCTATTAGACCGTGCTATTAGACCGTGCTATTAGACCGTGCTATTAGACCGTGCTATTAGACCGTGCTATTAGACCGTGCTATTAGACCGTGCTATTAGACCGTGCTATTAGACCGTGCTATTAGACCGTGCTATTAGACCGTGCTATTAGACCGTGCTATTAGACCGTGCTATTAGACCGTGCTATTAGACCGTGCTATTAGACCGTGCTATTAGACCGTGCTATTAGACCGTGCTATTAGACCGTGCTATTAGACCGTGCTATTAGACCGTGCTATTAGACCGTGCTATTAGACCGTGCTATTAGACCGTGCTATTAGACCGTGCTATTAGACCGTGCTATTAGACCGTGCTATTAGACCGTGCTATTAGACCGTGCTATTAGACCGTGCTATTAGACCGTGCTATTAGACCGTGCTATTAGACCGTGCTATTAGACCGTGCTATTAGACCGTGCGAGTAGACCCACCTTCCTCGGTATCTACCTTCCTCACTGCCTACCTTTTTGAGAGCAGCCACGTGGATCCCCCCCTTGTGCGCGAACGCGTTGGCGCCCACAAATGGCTGGGCGGGGTTGGGCAGCTGGCCTGCCTGAGGGCTTTCTATTGCTTGAATCTTGCTGTTACTTGTATCTACCCTCCTCAGTGCATACCTTCCTCAGAGCAGCCACATGAATGCCCCCCTTGTGCGCGAACGCGTTGGCTCCCACAAAAGGCTGTGCGGGGTTGGGCGGCTGGCCCGCCACCCGCGCAATCGATTGCTTGACCCTTGCGACTAGTATAGTATCTACCTCCCTCAGTGCATACCTTCCTCAGAGCAGCCACATGAATCCCCCCCTTGTGCGCGAACGCGTTAGCGCCCACAAACGGCTGCGCGGGGTTGGGCGGCTGGCCTGCCACCCGCGCAATCTCCGCGGAGATCTCCGCCAGCCTGGCGAGTGAATCCCGAGGCAGGCACTCGCACCCCAGCTTCACCTGTAAGATCCCGATGGCTGTCACCTGGTGATGTGATGTGGCGGGATGGGGTGGGGGTGTGGAGTGGGAGTGAGGGTGTGGGGGAGGGAAGCGTAGGGAAGTGAAGTGAAGTAGGGGTGGGGGTGAGACGTGGGGTGACAATCAGGGAGGGGGTAGGGGTCGGGGCGGGGATGGGGGAGGAGACATGGTATGGGTGGGGAGTGGGGTGAGGGATGAGGGTTGGTGGGGGGTGGGGGCTTGAAAGGTGAGGTGTGAGGGGTTGGAGTCAAATGCAAGCGGTCACTCACTCCCCACTCCCGCCCCACTCCCACACCTAGTCCTGTGCTAGAGCCCAGACCCAACTCGAATACTGCACGCACGCCCACCCCTGCATTAACAGGCCAACCCCTAGGACTCACAATGTCAGCGTTGCCAGTGCGCTCCCCGTACCCATTGATACACCCCTGCACCACTCTCGCCCCGGCCCTCACGGCCTCCACACTGTTAGCCACGGCCATGCCACAGTCGTTGTGACAGTGCACTCCCACGCCCGCATCACTCCCCCACTCGCCCTCTGCTGCGCCTCTTGCTAATTCTTCGACCACTATACGGGTTACTTCCTGTAATGTCATGGGGGGAAGGGGAGGGAGGGGGGTGCAGGAAATGGGAATGGGGGGGTGGGAGCGATGGGATTTGACACTGTTAGCCACGGCCGTGCGACAGTCGTTGTGGCAGTGCACTCCCACGCCCGCATCACTCCCCCACTCGCCCTCCGCTGCACCCCGCGCCAATTCCTCGACCACCAAGCGGGTCACTTCCTGGAGGGGATATGAAGGGGTGAGGGGGGATGGGAGTGAGGGGATTCAAGGCATCTCAAAGCGCCATGCCACAGTCGTTGTGGCAGTGCACTCCCACCCCCGCATCGCTCCCCCACTCGCCCTCCGCTGTCCCTCTTGCTAGCTCCTTTACCACCAAACGGGTCACTTCCTAAGGGGATATGGAGGAGGGGGGTGAGGGGAGAGGGAATGCACGATGTGGTGGTAATGTGAGGGTGGAAGTTTTGAGCGAGGTAATAGGAGGGACACAAGCCATGCTGCGCCATGGCATGGGATGGTGTGGCATTGCATGGCAAGGAATGGAATGGCATGGCATGGCGTGGCATGGCATGTGGCATTGCATGGCATGTTATGAGGCAGGACTCACATGCACGCGCCATGGCATGGCATGCTACATCACTCCCCCTGACTCACATGCACATGGCATGGCATGATATGATGCCACACATGCACATGCACTCCCCCCAACTCACATGCACGCGCCCCAACTCACATGCACGCGCCCCAACTCACATGCACGCGCCATGGCATGGAGCCCCCGTTAGTGTCACACAGCACTATCTCCTTTGCGCCCGCCCTTGCTGCTGCCCGCACACACTGCATGGCGTACTCGCTGCAAGGGGGTGGAGAGAGAAGGCGGGGAGGGGGAGGAGAGATAGGGGGGTGGGAGGCAGGAGAGAGGGAAGGTGGAAGGGGGAGAGCAGTCATTTCGTGCCCGCCCTTGCTGCTGCCCGCACACACTGCATCGCGTACTCGCTGCCGAGGCAGGCAAGAGCGCAAGGTTGGTGTGAGGGCAATGTTGGTGTGAGGGAGCAAGGAGGTTGGAGCGAACTGAGGGGAGAGGACTGAGGTTGTGGGAAGGAAGGAGGCTCACGGGTTGGCGGAGAAGCCGTCGTAGAAATGCTCGGCGTCCAGCATGACATGGCGGCCCATGGCAGTGAAATACCCCACCGTGTCTTCAATCATCGCCAGATTCTCCTCCAACGTCGCTTCTAGCACCTTGAGCACCTGGGCGTCCCATGCCTGGAGGCAGGGCCATGAGAGAGGGGGGAGGGGCAGTGGACGGGCAGGAGAGGAGAGAGATACACCCATGGCAGTGAAATACCGCACCGTGTCTTCAATCATCGCCAGATTCTCCTCCAACGTCGCCTCCAGCACCTTGAGCACCTGCGCGTCCCACGCCTGGATGGGAAGAGGGAGAAGATTGAGGGGACAGGAGGAGGGGGATATGCCCATGGCTGTGAAGTAGCGCACCGTGTCCTCTAAAGTGAGTATCATCGCCAGGTTCTCCTCTAAAGTGGCCTCCAGCACTTTCAGCACCCTGTGCGAAAGGGCAGCGGAGGAGGGAGATTTGAGCAGAGCAGGCAAGTAGTGCAGCGTGTGAAACATCCTTGCTGGATTCTCCCATCCACCGTACCTTGGCCCTGGTCCCTTGTTATAGTAACACGGACCACCACCGTACCTTAGCCACGAGGGTGACCACGGGCGCTCCACTCTCCACCAGCGCCTGCACATTCGCGTCCTTCTCACACGTCGTGTTCTTATAACGAGTCGCTCCAAACGCGGCCAGCTTCGTCCGCCTCCCCTCCCCCCCGTTACTGTCACCTCCTGCTGCAGTCAACCTGTCTATCCCCTCCCTTGCTGCCTCCCGGGCTTTCCATCGCTGGAAGAACTCGGCGTCCTTGGGATTGGATCCTGGCCAGCCTGCTTCGATATAGTCAACCCCGAGATCCTCTAAGAGCTCCGCTATACGCAACTTGTCTGCTACGGAGAGCGTGATTCCCACCATCTGATTGGCCGGGAGGGGCGGGAAAATCGAGGTGCGAGAGTGTGAGTAGAGAAAAATGTGGATGGAAATGGGAATGAGGATGGGAAGGGGATGGGCAGGGGAATGGGATGGGGATGGGGAGGTGGACGGAGGGCAGTACAGGGGGAGAGAAGCAGCAGAGAGGGAAGGGAAGAGAAGGGAACGGAAGAGCTGCCATCGCCCATTCCTCCTCTTCCACCCATTCCCACCCACGCCCACCCATTCCCACCCACGCCCACCCATCCTCACATCTGACTCCGCCACCCGTCCCCTGCCCGCGACCCGATCCCCACCATCGCGAAAAAGGAAAGCTCGAAAAGCAAATCGCAAGAAACTTTTACTCAACATTCCCGATATTTTTTTCACGGCACTTTTGAGTCAAGGTTTTAGATCTGCATGGCGACAGTCACTTACAAAGCAACTTTGAGTCCACTTTCCCGCGACATTCTGTACATATGCGTGCATCAAATTAGCCACTGCACCCGCATCTGGGCAGTTGCTAAACAGTAACAGGTTGCGCCACACAAAAGTTTACCTAACCATACCGTGCCAATCGACTAGAAAGCTACGAGTACGCAACCCCAACTGCCACTCCGTACGCGCACACCCACGTGGCACCCTGTTTCAACCCGCATGGCCACGTCAGCGTACATGCACCAAAACGTACCCGCACCCCAACCGTTGGATGAACACTAGGGTCACGCAATCTCAATGGTTCACGTGTCGCCTGCACATAAATTCGCACATCATGTTACGACTTCGCGAACACTAACTCGCACATGCTCGCGCCAACATCGCGCGCGGCTCTGCACCGTACATCTGATGGACGCACATCCAATACACAGATGACAGTTGTAGGCAACCCACAGGGGCGCTAACCGCAAACCACGCCGGTGATACCCACTAGCATGCTACCACGTGGCCTCACTACACTTGCGCATTCCCCGTCCGCACCCTGCACTACATTGCACAGTCACCGTACACCTGTCGCGTCGCCCCCGTATCGTACACTTCGCCAGCTCGTTCGCAAACCAGTAGTAACGCACGCGCGACTACCTGTCGACGCCATCTGCATCGTCCATCCGTGTACATCGTATCCACCACCGTGCTGACACGTCACGCATAAATAATCGATCTACCCCGTACACTTGCCGTGCGATCGTGGACTCGCACATACAGTTACCCTAAACCATCTCATCGTGGCTCGCATTCGCGACGTCTTCGCTAATCAATCACAACCTAACATCAGTCGCACTCTAACCGCATATCACATTGCGTTCCCCCCGTTAACCTCGACGCGGCGTTCGCTCCGTGCGGTGACACGCGTACTTGAGCGCGTGCAACCATTGTATGCAATTGGTGGGACATCATATCTTATCCATTGTATCCACTCATATGTCCACGCTTGCGCCCCGCGGGTGCTTCTACGTCCACACATTACCGTGACACCTGTCACGTTCCGTGAAAGGCGCCGCAAATTGCGACGCGGTCCGCGCCAAACGAAACACCTGGTTGACGGTATTCCCGCGGTGTTTCGCTACCGACGGGTATCCTTGTTGTACGGTCAAATGCGCATATACCCCAATGAATACTTCTCCCATTAACAACTCACACACACACAAGCATACAACGTAACCATGCATATAAATAACCCCACTAGCTTCGCAGCCCGCATATGCAACATCCAGTGCCCACTAAAACTCTTGCGCAAACCCCTGACACGGAACCGATAATGCTGCCTTCCACGACACCAGCCACCTGTCCCACCAACGGTGCGCGCCTCAATGTTGAACGCCCTCACACGCCCTTCGGCCTACTCATCACCAACTGACGCCGAAAGGTCGTCGTCCCCCTCAGGCTCTTCGGACTGAGCTGCGGCGGTGGGCTTCATGTGCTCCAGGCCGCACGCAGAGATGCGCAGTCCATGGCGCCCCCAGATCCACGCCTCTCGCTCCGCGTCATACTCCGGGTTGCGGATCCTGATCGCCCTCTCCACGACCTCCTTCACCAGGACCTTGAGGCCGTCCACGACGTGTGCGTTGCCGCCGGCCGAGTTGGAAAGCCGGCCTTTCCTCTCCTCCCAGTAGAGGACGCAGTCGGAGACCTGCGCATCCACCACCCAGCGTGTCACCCAAATGGTGCGGCGGTACAACTCGAAAACATGGCTCGCATAGGGCGCACAGACTCACCACATGCTCCAACCAGGCCAGGTGGTACACCTTCAGTGTCATCACCAGCCCGGCCTTCTTGGGCCTGAATGCAGCCTTCGCGCATGTCGCGAACGCCCGGGAGGCAAACGGCATGCCGTCACGGTCGTTCGCCCAGCTCGTGAGCACCAGGGTTTCTGCACACCACATGCGCACTGTCAGTGTCAGCCGTCGCCAACCACGAGGTGGTCAGCATAAGCATACGTAGGTAACCCTCTCTGCAGTGGTAGAATGCACTCACCAGGGGGGTCAGCGCCAAGACCAATGCGCTCCCGGATCTTATCGATACTGCGTGCCTTCTCGGGCGCCCATGGGCTGGATGCGTCCCTGTCGTCGCGGAACAATCCGAGCTTGGGAAGTGCAATGTCTCGCACGCGTGCGGCAGCCCTTGTCTTCCACTCAGATAGCGTCTTGTTGAGATCCGCGCGACGCGACTTGTCAGCCGCCAGCGCCAAACAGGCGAAGCTATGCGGCAGGCGGTCCAGCACCGCACACACTCCGTGAGTCTTATCGTCGCTGCTCGGGTAGAAGGTCATCGTCGACGTCGGCCTGTTGAGAAACATGTGCACCCTGGCCAGCTCGCAAACCCTCTGCGCACATACAGTGTACACAAAACATGATATAAGTGCAAACCGGTAACCATCACCTGACCCACATGGCAGCCCAACACGACGAACGGAAAAAAGGCCCAACGGTAACATGCCCGCTCACCTTCCATGCCTTGTCCGTCGGCAAATGCTCCAAAGCGCGTTGCAGAATAGGAGACTTCGCGGTACGCATATGACGGCCACCAGAACCATGCGTGTCGTCATCGTCATCCTCGCCGTCGCCGTCGGACCCGCCACTCCACGTCTCACCACGCTGTCGCTTCGGGTTCATACAACCCTGCCCCGGGTCTCTCTGCTTCTGAGCTTTACGCTTACCAGAGCCACCGGAAGGGCGAGACATCGCATTCAAAAACAGCGCCTCCAAACGCGCGTTCTCCTTGGCGCTCTTGTCCTGCGCCTGTATGAGTTGCTCGAGGATCCGGCTAGGGATGCGCACGTCATCGCCGTTGGCGTCCAAGGTGTTCACGCGTGTGCGGCCAACAAGTCCGTCCGCCTGTCCTCGGCCGTCGCCTCGAGACACATCCGTGTCCCGCGCATCTTGATGTGTGCGCCTGTCAGCATTGGCCGCGGATATTCCCGCACATCCATCGTCATGCGTCTTCCCTCCAGCGCCCTGGTCGGCGGATTCCTCTTGTGATCCTGGCGCCGATGTGTCTTCGCTTTCCTCGTCCTCTTCCTCGCTGCGCTCAGACGAATCTGCACTCTCTGCACCCGTGCCGTCATCTGTGGGTGAGAGAAACACCAGGGAAGCACAACACCACTAGTTAGCATCTTGTTTTACTCCGTAGTTCCACGGGTGAGATCAACATCGCGTGCAGCACACGTCGGGACCCATCCACATACGCTCGTTATGCATACCTTGCTCTGAATGTGCCACCTCCTTTCCCTTAGTGGACAAGCTCAAGCGCTTGGGAACGGTCGCCCCACGCTTCCCGTTCGACAGCCGACCTCGCGGCATCGTCAACTGGTATGACGAACGCAGGTATGCCGGCGGTTGCGAGACACGACGTGAGCGGCCTCCGGCCCTCGTATCCTCGGAAGCCATCGAGGTCTCCATTATAGCAATTGAAGTATCCAGTGAGATGCTTTGACAGTGACGCGCTACCCATTTTTCTACCTAGAGTTGGGAGCTCAACTTCCAAACACACCGCGACACCGTTTACTCGAGGAGTTTGGTAGCCAGGAATACCTCGTGCACATCTGGACGACCGCAATCCAAAACGTCCAATGAGTGAACAACACGTCATCATACCGGTGACGGGTGTCCACAGCAGAACCATACATTGCGCACATCGTGGTGACACAACCGTATCCATATACATCGTTTGTGCTACCTCTGGTATAGACATCCGGTTTCCTGTATTCAGGGACTCCATACACCTTTTCCGGCTGCCAGCACACCAACTGCACGATAACGCATCCTGAGAACAAAACAACCCGGCCACAACCGTACATCAAAGAGGCACATGGTGGTGAAATCACAATCATTAGCATTGATCGCACAGGCATACAACCATGATAGCACACTATTGAAGATCAGCTAGGTGTTCACACATATGTTCTAAAATACACGCACGAACAAGTTGCTCCTGCTTTGACTCCACAACCACTATGCAGCTGTGACTGCCGTCTTCTCTTGTGCACCACTGTCTCCCTGTCGCTCTTCCTGGTCATTTTCCTTTGCACCTCCGCCGTGCGCGTTGCACAAGGGGGCCGTCCCCCCACTCTCTGCATTCTCGGGGGCCGCCGGTTCGTTGGTAGCCGTGTTGTTGTTCTCCACCACCCTGCGCCTCTTTGATGTACCTGTGTCACCCCCACGCTTCCTCCCTCCTTTCAGCCTGTTGCTCACGCTCTCCAGCGCGTCACGCCAGCTTCGCCACCTCCACCACTTCCTTGCTTCCACCAGTATTTGCAAATCTTCTTTTGTGCATCCCCGCAGCATCGCCTTCTCAGCCGCTGACAGGGTGACGGTGTTGGGTATCCTGTCGCGTGGCCTCAGGACGAACGCACCAGCGGCATACGCGAATGCCGCCTCTTCCTCCGTGGTGTATGCTCCCAGGCGCTGCTGCTTACGCTTTCCACGTTCTTTGATCAAGATCTTGACGCCGAACTTGCCAGTCCGTTTGTCCAGCTTCACACCCGTGCACACGTATCCTCGTCCTCGCCATCGTCGTCTGAGTCGGACACGAGGTCCTCCTCCTCTTCGCCCTTCAGCGTCTCCTGCCCGTGCGTGTCTCCCCACGCGGCATCTCCAGGTGGCACACCGTTCCCGAGCAGCTGCCTCCCGCGCGTGAACATCCAGTGAGGTATGGCACCTTGGGAGAGCAGCGGGTTCGGGAGCAGGCTCGATGCAGGCGCACATGCAGCGAACGTGGAGGCCAGCGCTACCCGGGTGCCGTTGCGCACGCCATCCTCCTCAGGACTGCTGTCGGCCCGCATCTTACGGGCAGACGGACGCTGTGGTGTGCGAGGCGCAGTCTTGTTGCCACCCGCCTCTGCATTCGTGCCGGTGCCCGGGTGACCGCCCTGCAGCAGCAGTTGGGTTGCAGCGGACACGACCTCGTCCCGCCTCAGTCCCACAAAGTTGGCAATCACGGTGACGGTGGCGTTCAGGTACCTCACATCGTTAGTCAAGGAGGCTACACGGTACATCACCTCCGTAACCCGTGCGTCCTCCACAGGGCGAGTGACCGGTGCCGGCCTCCCATCTCCCACAGCCGCGTTCTTCGACTGCACCACTGTACCCTCATCGGTAACCCGGCCTCCGTCTTGCGGGGGGATCTCAATGCCCATATCCTGCAGCTGTTGCAAAAGAGCGCCGCTCGCGTGTGCACACAGGTCGCGCCGCATCTCCCGCCTGTATTGGTGCGGTGTCACACCCTGGAACCAGAGGCCCGAAAGAACCGTGGCGAAGTCGGTATTCACGAGGGAATTGAGGTACTGGCAAACAAAAATCCCACAGTCCTCCTTGTTAGGCTGCTGTGGCAGCTTGTCCTCCTGCCAACATGGCACCGCACACATTGTTTATCAGTATGCACACCATCAAGTACAAACCGCACATCGGTGTCCACGGTTAACGTCGCATACTTACCCGTAAAATGCAACAGTCCGCCTCCTTCAGCGTCTGGTCCACAAACTCCATGTTCGCGCTTGGGGAGCTCGCCTTTGCGAGCTCAGACAGCACACTGAACGCAACAGGTCAACTGGTATTAATATGCAGATCAAGCAAGGCTACTGTATGCGAACTTGTTTAAACCCATACTCACAGCATTGTTCCTGCTAAAATCTTGCGGCTATTCCGATGCTTGATCGCGCTGTCCATCAATACCAACGTCAAGCGCTCTTTGCCCTTCGATTTCGGCGACTTGGTGAGCACCGATGGATCTATTGCGATGGCCAGCGAATAGTGCTCACTGCGCGCAACATGAGCGGTGTTAAATGTGTCAGTGGATAGACAGGTTACCATGGCACACGACATAAACCCATCGATAAACACGTTATGCACGCTACTCACGATTCTAGCACCGGGATCGCCAGATAATCGTGTTCCAGAAGCGGCCGCCCGTTCCCAAGCGTTAACGGCGCACCCTGCGAATTCGTCTGTGTGTAAGCCTTGCAGTCCATGGCGGCCCATGTCTTCCCGTCGCGGAGCGTTGGTTTCCTGATGCTAAGCAGCCTGCGAAGAGGTGAACAAGTACATGTTACCACATCTGGCTACAAGCATCAGTAACCATCGCGCAAAGCCCCGCGTGAAGGGTTCGGCCGTCATAACGGTACTTACACGTTGTGGAAGTCGATGACACCATCTGTAATCCACTGATCGTCCTCGATTGACATGAAGTCGTCCTTATCCACCGTGCATCCGACACCGCGGTGATTCATGAGCATCACGTTGCTGTACGTTGCCTTCTTATAATTCCGGGCGACAGCGGTCACCATGTCGTCCGGCACGGGCTCCTTCGCCTTGTTCACAACATGAGACGCGAACCTAGAAGCCCTTCCGGTGTCCTTCGTCGGCGGGCAGGGAGCAGTAGGATTGTCGCCCTTGTTCGACGCCCTAGATCTGGTGACGGGCGGGTCGGGGTCCTCGTCATCGCCGCTGCTGCTAGTCTCCGATTCATAGAACCGGTTGCGCTTAGAGACCAACTGTTTGGGTTTCGCCATCCTGAACGAGCACTCACTGCAACTCGGAGGACGCAGAGTGATTCATAGGTGAGCACGGAGGGGATGACTGGGTGAGCACAGCTACTCACGGATCTCGCGACCGTGGCACCATTCGGAATGAAGCTGCTACTGCAGGGCGTCACCCATGCCTTTCGCGCATAGGCTGGTGCGAACAGCATGCCCGTGCTCAATGATCTACACCGTTGGCGCAGAATCGCATGCGATGCACCAGGTGTGATTGGACAGCTCACCCGGATGTGACGGTGAGGTCACATGCAGATCCACGTGTGATGAGCCGAGGGTTTCGGAATATGTGGTCCGAGGCTTGGGTGGGTCACCAAACCTGGTGCATGGTGGTTTGGCCAGTTGTGGCCCGATTTTCTTGTACATTCCGAATGACGCAGATTCCGAAGTCCCCGTACGCGGTAGGGGGCACATGGGTCGTTGTGTTATTAGGGCGCGCCGAGCATCGTTTGGAATCCGCAGTTGTGCCATGGGATGGGATAATCGTGTACTGGTATACGCGGTTATTCAATGTTTTGCTGTATTTTTATGGATATGTAAAAAGGGTGTGGGTGTACACGTGCATTGCGCGACATTGCAGGTGAAATTGCAGAACAACTTTGGGGTCGTTGTGTTTTGTATGTACAAATAATCAGTCCTTGGTTCTCGACACATCGGGACATAAATACTTTTCTTTCCAATAAATAAATGCACCCTTTAGACTGCTTTTAGAAATAAACCCTCATGTTGGGGTGTACATTGATTATCGTGTAACAAATGACCCGTTGTTTCATGCACACATTTCATCGTCTTCCTGCACATGTGTGGGCGATAAGTTGTTCCTGTGAGTTTTATTAGTGTGCACATGAGGTACTGAACAGGGTTTCGATTGCTCGGCCCCCTAGGGTTTCACGGCTGTAGGATGACGGGCAACAGTTGCCTGGTGTGCGAGACGGTGTTTAAAGACGACAGCAGGTTACAGTCTCATGTCGCCAATGGTGCAGTTTGTCGCGCCGAGTTGAAGAGGAAACGAGAGAGTCTTTTGCTAGCTGCATATTTGGATGCCCTCGCATGCGACGGAGAGAGCAGACCTAACACACCGCCGGCCTCCCGGCGTAAGGAGAATGATGGCAGTTTTATATCTGTTGCTCCAACGGCTTCGATCCCCGAAGTCAGTCTTGTTGGAGACGAGGATACACCAGCTGAGGGCGAACATGCAGGGTCTTCAGAAGACAGCGTGAGGGCGGAGATTTTCGATACACTGACGGAGTTGTACCTTTTCTTTAGGGACGCCGATCTCTCGCACAGGGAGGTTAACCGTCTGCTACACATATTCCGCAATCCGCGCTTCAACCTACGGGCCCTCAGACGATGGCGCAACTGGGTGGACGTGCGTCGCTGGGGCATGGCGCGCGCTCCCGCCGACATGGTCCCTTGGAAAACAGAGGAGATAGTGGTGCGGGGCCCCAAAGGAATGCAAATGAAGCTGCTACTGCACTTCCGCGACACAGAGCTGGTTCGTAATAGCCAGCTCGCGACGTCGTAATGAAGTGTCGCCCGTGACCACTGTTCGTTACCTACCATAACTCGCGCCTGATTCCACATCGATGCCCGCAGATTTTGAAGAAGCTGGTGCGGACGTTCTCATCGAAGAAGGGGTTCGTTTGGAAACCAAGGAAGATTCATCGGAAGAAGAACAACGAGAGGGTGTTTGAAGGACCGGAGACGGGTGATTGGATGCACGCAGCCCAGGTACGCGCCGCGTTTAGGCTCGGCCCATTAATTGTGGATTACAACAGGTACGATGCTTTCGATTACCCACAGCTCACCGGCACGTGTGGTGCACATGGCAGAAGGAGATTAATGACGAGGATGCACTCATTTTAGGCGTGCTGATATACAGTGACAGCACACAGGCATCACGGAATGGCAGGAGGAACGCGTGGCCGGTGCTGATCTCACTTATCAACATTCCGGCGGAACTGCGAGGAGTGGAGCCTGGGCACACATTGGCGGCGGTGCTTCCGTTCCCACCTGAGTGGGCATCGTCTACGGAGAAGACGCGCGTGTTCCAGGAGGCGATAAAGATCAACCTCGCGCCCATCATGCGAGAGTCTGCAAGGTACACTGGGGGACCGGGGTGGTGTTGAAAGTGCTACACGAAGTCGCCCGTGGTGGGCACCCCATCAAGTAGTGAGTGGAGAGAGGACTACGAGTTGTGTATATGTAACATCACTAACTGCACACCATGTGTGCATTTGTACACTGCGCAGCGCGCCAGTTCGCTTCTTCTACTGCACAGACGCGGACGGGAAGGTGCACAAGGCGGTCCCTTGCCTGTACGGATACCCTGCCGACTTCCCTGAATCCAGCAGAGCATCTGCGACGCTTCAGCAAGGGTCGCATCGACCATGCGCTAACTGCTATGCAGACAAGGGGGAGTTTACCATGATGGTGGGGAAGGTAGATCCACGTACCCCCGAGAAGCAGAGGGACATTGTCCGACAGATCCTGGCGTGTAAGAAGCAAAGCGACGCTGACGATGTGCGGAGGTTGTGGTCAACCCATCCGATCGAGGTGTGTTTCGAGTTGGATAGGATACTCGTTTAGGGTTCCAGTGGGCACGTTTTGACACCGTCGTGTCCTCCGTTGCACCGTGCAGTGCGTGCTTCACAGGTGGAATTTTGCAGACACAGAGTGGGGCAACGTGTATCTGGCATGCCTTGCAGACACGCTGCATGTTCTGGACTCTGGTGTGCTGATCCACATGATGGACACCTACATAGAGCCGCTCGGGAAGGTTGAGATGCGGCTGCTTGAACAGTGAGCCGGGTGTTGCTGGGTGGTCGAACTGGGCATGCTCTACCTTGCCGGGGTCAGTTGGTTTGTAGGACACCATGTGTGCAGCTACATGAGCTCTTCGAATCCGTGTTGTGCGCAGACGCAAGAAGGAGTTCAAGGCCATCACGCCTAGCGTTCTCCTCCGAATCCCAAGGGGCTCAGCGTTCTTCAGTTCAGGCGCAAATTACGCCGCGTTCGAGCACAGGAGCATGATGCAGATAATGCCGATACTGGTGGCTGACGAGAGTGCATTGAAGGGTGGAGAGGAGGGAGAGCTGCGTGCTTTGCAGGTCAAAGCGTTCCGGCTGTTTGCTGTGTTTTACAAGGCGTTTCTGGGGGTTGACAGGCACACACATACAACAATTGCGATTGCACGTCAGCATGCGATAGCGTGAGTACATACCTGGGTACGCCGAGAGGTTGGTCGGGGTGCTGGGAGCGTGTGCGGTGTGATTGTGCGGACAATGTGGTGTGATACACGATGGGGATGCATGATGGTTCATCGAGTGTTGTATGCTTTTGTGGACGGTGTGGCAGGTTGGTGGAGTTGCTACCGCGGGCATTTCCAAAGCAGGCATCCCACTGGAGACTCTCAAAGATACACATGATAAGGCACTTACTGGACAACGTTGTCCACCGTGGGATGCCGCACCATTATTCCACGGAAATGTGGGAGCGCACGCACAAGGGCACGGTTAAGGGTCCAGTAAGAGGGAGCAACTGGAGCGACATTCCACGCCGCATTGTGGAGGAGGAGGTGCAGCGAGAGGTGTACCGTGAAGTGGCTGCAGACGCAGGGGGTGGGCGACAGTACGCGACCGCGTTGAGCGAGGTGAGTACGGGTGTCCTTGGTACGGTGATGGCCATTGGGAGTATATAGTGGAGCGGTTTACCAGGGAAGAGCCGTGCCTCACGCGATATGCGGTTTGTTGTGTGCATGTGGGCGTCACGTGCAGGCAATCAAGACGAGGAAACCGGTGCTTACAAAGAAGTATCGGATCATGCGCATAGGGGGGGAGTCGGATCCAGTGTACAACGAGTACACCGCCGCGCTTGGAGACGAGATGAAGGGGATGGCCGATGAGTTCAAGGCGTTGGGGCTGTCTACCAACAACGTGCAGGTGAGGTGATGATGTGGTAGCGTTACATGACGCATCCGGGGTTGTCACGTTGGTTGTCACTGCACTCATGATGGTATCTGATGATGGATTGGGTTCCATGGTGTGGCAGGTCCACACGGCGGTGGCCATTCCGCGCACAAGGGGCGGAGAGCTAGTGGCAAAAGGGACATTTGTGAAGGCGTCTCCCCGAGAGAGGTGGTATTCGGACGTGGCACTGCTGAACAACAAGAAGGGGGACTGGTTTGCAAGATGTCTGTGCATCTTCAGGGCGGTTGACCGCGAGGGGGACTGGAAGGGGTACGCATACGTGCGGTACTATGAGGGGGCGGGAAGATGCAAGCTTACGGGGTGCAAGCAGCTGCACAAGAAAGTGGATAAGGTGAGGTACTCGGTGGTGGAGTTGAGGAGCCTGCAGAGAGTGGTGCACGTGTGCCCTTCGTATAGCAACAAGAATGTGCAACTAGTGAACAGGTTTTTGCTGTGTGAGTGACGATGCATGTTGGTGGGGTGGAACGGCAGTGCTGATCCACAAGGTTGGCAACCAACACGCTATACGATGTAGATGTGTGAAATGCAGGATGGATGGGTACAGTAATGCAGTAGGTAAACGAAATTGTGGCTGGAATTGATGGTGTCATGGTACCGTTAGTGTTGCAGTTGGCGAAACACAAAATGCACGGATGATATAATGTGCACACATGTATATGGCAATCAGATGGCCAATTGTGCATGGGTAGGCCGCACAGTTGACGTATGCTAAATGTTGACCCAAGAGTTTAAACAGAATGTCAATGGTGCGTGCAGTTTGAATGTCGGGTACATGACGAGTATGAGTACTGTTGACGTTTGTGCGGTCGAGGTTGACGCGCTTCAATGTGTGGTTGTGTGAACGACCGAGCACATGCCGTTGGCTGGTCGGATATGGGTGACGCGTACGTGGCGTCGGGAACGCGAGATGGCCTATGTGAACGTAACAGGTGTGCGTTTCACATGTGTGCGTTATCGTCGAGCGGCGCAGGGGTAGTTGTCGGTTGGTTGTGTGGGGCATGTCAACCGATGTACGCAGTGTGCGTACAGGGGAAAAATGGGGGTACGTTCCGGTAGAGTGAAACATATATAGTACGGGGTCTTCCGGCCTTCAACGCATAATTGCCAACCTGGTTGTCAGAGTGCTACAATGGGTGACCTGAAGGGACTGCTGGCTACCGCGCACCCGGACGACATGTTCTGCTTCCACGAGATTAATTTTCTCCCGAGCCGGCTTCCGAAGACGTACATTCCGGATAAGCGTGTTGGGGCGGAGCGGATTGTCAGCGTCGGCATTCTTTACAACGCGACGGGGAGTTGTTCCGCGGTGCCTCTGGTTGTTCTATCGCCGTACGATAGGCCCGAGCGCAGGCGGGGGAGCGCGGCATGTCGCAAGGTGGCTGTCCGGTATACGCATCGCGGGCGGTTGACGCCGGAGGTACGGGACAATGTGTAATGTGTGTGTACCGTGCGTCTCTGACGTGTGCATCACAAGTGTGCACACCGTACATCTGATGGTGGTGTGCGTTATGTCTGCTGGTGTGCACACAGGTGTTCACGGAGTTCGTGGAGACTGTCAATGGTGTGCACTTCAGCCGTGATCGCAACACCCTCATCCTTACCATTCACGAGGCGTATCGCATCACAGGCGAGGTGGCGCGACCCGTCACGGAGCACGGCTTCAGTGTGCAGCACCTGACCAACACCCGAATCGTCAACATTCGTGGGTCGGTTCCTGAAGGGGGCCTTCCGCACCTCCAGGGAGTGGAGGATGCGCTGAAGGGCCATTACCGCGTTATGCTCATGAAGCGTGCGATAGCGGCGAAGCGGTTCCAATTCGACTATTCGGCATCGATCGCGGACGTGGATTATGGCCTCATGCTCGAGTGGCTGGGAGAAGCGTGGACTCGCGTGCGCGCCGTCACCATGCAGAGGAGCTGGTGGCGCGCCGGATGCGTGCCACCGAGCTGGCCGCCACTAATGGCGTACCTGAGTGACACGAGCGCAACGGGCATGTTTGAGCCCCTCATTGCGATATGCGTCGAGCTGCAGTTGCTAATCGAGAAGTTCAAGATGAGGCCTGCGTGCTATATGACGGCGGCCGAGTTTGTCAACTGCGACGCGGGACTCTGCGTGGAGCAGGGGTTTAGGGCCACACCTGCGGCCAGCGCGTCGGATGACTCGTCGGGCGAGATGAGTCTGCCAGACGGCCCACTGCTGCGTGACGAGCGCAGCAGGCGGCGCGTGATTCGCAACGTAACAAATGCGTACGTGGAGCGTGCCGACGCGCTCGGCATTCCCCCGGCCCTCGTGCCAGCAGAGGTCGGAGCATCTAACCAGGAGGTGATTTCCCGCCTCGGCAGGACGCCAGTCAAGCGTGCGCGCGCGGGGATGCGCCCGGAGGACGTGCCAGCCCCAGCGGTGCGCGAGACTGAGGATGACGAGTGATGCAAGGATCGTGCAGTGGGGCAAAGTAGTGGGAGTCGTGTGTGCGCGGGACCGTATGACTGGTTGACGCGTGTGGGGTTGTCTTGTTGATGTAATAGTGGCTGTTCTGGGAGAACATTTGGAATGGAGTTTTCAACCCATGTTTGGCATTTGTGTGTAAGCGTCAACTTTGTTTGGGATATGAAGTTATACAGTGACAGAATGGAAGAACCGCACTTACAATACCGCGGAAATTTGTGCTAGAAATTTGAGAGGGGGAGAGCGACTCGAGGTGTAGGTGTGCGATTCGGGTTTTCGAAAGCTTCACGGTATTGTTGCTGTGTAGTCACTATTTTCCGTATGATGTACTCGAGCGTTTTTGGTGTGCGGAATGTTGCGATTTGAGTGCGTTGTTTTCCCGCAGCTTTCCGCAACATTCTCGCAAGGCCGACGCAGAAAAACCTTCGGAGGCCAAAAAACGCAGTTTTCCTTTTTCGCGATGACGTGCGATTCGTCCCTCATCTGCGATTCACTCCCCCACCTGCGACTCGTCCCCCACCTGCGACTCGTCCCCCACCTGCGACTCGTCCCTCACCTGCGACCCGTCCCTGAGCGTGGTGTCGTATATCGCCACCGCGCGACCCGCTGCCACTGTACCGGAGCCAGCTGGCGCGGTCCCATTGGCTGTTGCGGGTGCTGCGCCGTTAAATACGGGTGCTGCGCGTGGTTGGACTGCGGAGAGAGAGGCGGACGCGGAGAACGCGGAAGCGGGCTGGAAAAGGAGTCGGGGAATGTGGGGCGAAGGGGAAGATGGAGAAGCGGGGGAGCGGAGATGGGGAGAGGGGAGGAAATGGGGGGAAGGGAAGTGGGAGAGGGGGGGGGGGGGGGGGGGAGGAGGGGTGGTTGGGGAAGATGGATGAGAAGAATGGGGAACGAAAAAACGGGGAGGAGCAAGCGCGGAATGCGGAAGAATAGAAACGGGGAGGGGGGAGTCGGACGCACGACTGGAGATTTTCTGGGGAGAAGGGGAAAGAAATAAAAAACAACCCTTTAGCTGGAAACGCAGTTGCTTCAATAGATTTGCCCGCATTTCATCTAGCTCGGTGCTGTTCGAGAGAAAAGCGGTTAGGTCTTAAGAATGTTGTGACTAAAGCGGGCGTAACTCACGCTATCTGTCGCAACGGCCTGCGTCACGGTCCCCGCGCCCGCCGCCGCCGCCTTCGCCCGCCGTGACGGCTGCTCCGCTGACGCGGTTAACCTTACGACCTTCCCGCAATGCCCCGCGAACAGCGCATTCCCGCGCAGAAAGCTCGCTCTGTCGAGGCGCACCGGGTGGCCGCGAAAGAAAGCACCGCCGACGGCAGCATCCATGGGGAAAATGACGGGAAGGTAGCGCGCGAACGAGCGGACAAGGGAGGGAATAATCGAACTGTCGCGCGAACAATGGCCTACGTTTTTGCACGAGACGCGCCACGCTGGATGTGGCTTGTATACGCGACGAGGTTCGTGAGAGGACGGGTAGCCTTGCAATATCGCCAGAAAAAAGGGAAAGGTTTCGAGGACGGCGGGTGAAAGAAATATCTGGAGCTGAGAATTCAAGAAATACACGAAGGGGCGATGTAACTGGTTCGCCTTGGGGATGGTGGAGGGTTCGCGATCTTATGCGACCAGGAAACAGGGCAATGGCGAAAGTTAACGAAAAGCTATATGATGGCACGTCAGATCTGCTACGTGGCAGGGAAGATATCTCCTCAAATCACGCATCTCGAAACACCAACAGAATGCTGGATAGAAATATGTAGTAGCATTCAAACTCTAGGCAACAATAGTAATATGCTCCATTATGCTATAGCGGGGTTTCATGATGTGTGCCCTGACCCCGACCCCGACCTCGACCTTGAACAGCCACCAAAAGCCAACTGCAAGCCAAAGAAAGTTCGACTCTGTCGTCACCTGAAGGCAATGATTGTAAATGCAGCATTTGGAAAGTGAATACAGTTTGTTCTGTTATTGAGCTCCAATGATTTTTAAATTCAGCCCAGAACAGTGAAGGTGGGGACAGACTCGGTCAGCGAAACACAATTTTCACGCACTGATACGATACCCGACAACAGATGATAACCTGATAACCTACTGAGGCCCTTGGACTATCTGGTGGAGATGGATGAGCTTCCATCAGCAGCACTCTCGTCCAAACCAGCCACGTGTTTTGTTGCGGCTCCCCCAAGCCATGAAGAGTTGCCTTGCCGAACCACAGGCTTTCCCGTTTTACTGGGATTTTTCGCGCTTTCGTGTCGCCGCCTTCGGCTTTCGCGACATCGCTGCAGTGCTGCAGGGACAGGCGTTCGCGGGGGCGCGGGACGGGCAGAACAGCTCCCAAACTACCAGCGAACGAACCAGATCGTCTGATTTTGGTTTGACGTTCCAGACCAAATTCCGAACCAGCAATATACCCCAACTGACAGTGTCACCTCACCATCGCTCTCCTCAACCACCATCGGGTTCGATATATCGGTTCACAATCGCCCTTAGATCCCCCCCACCAAGCCTGCTCCCGTGTCTTCAGGCGACTCTGGTTCGGAACAGGTTAGGGATAAGCAAGGGTTTCTGCGACTCACCGACCGCCACGCCACTATTTCCAGCTAATTTCCTCTGGTCGTGTGGAAGCACGCAAGTAGCAGGCCACAGTCGCAGCCAATCAGAGCGGCCACGACAGTCTGAGATTGGAGATGTTACCCCACATGGATTCTCACGTGATAAGCGGTCAACTCGTTTCAAGCCAGCAGAGTGCTTATCACCATCTTGTCTCCTCGAAACCCCATGATTTCTTGTTGCTCCGACTCCCAGGGAAAAGGCAGGCCGTGATTCCGCAGCGCGGCCGCTGTAAGCAGCAGAGCCGTGATCACCCGCTCTTTCCGGAGAGCTTTCCAGCCTAGCTCACCTCGCGCAATCGATGGTAATTGAAACGTGTTCGTCGCTGTGAGTTAATCGCCGCTACGGAGAATCGCCCATCATGGTCGCTAGTGGGACAAATCAGGCCGTGAAGTCCTCCTCTTCGCATGACTCCCAGTCGTCGCTCGAATGCTGCGACGGAGGGGTCACCGTTACCCTTAATCGCTCACTCGGCCCCGAGTCTGTTCCCCCCCCGCCGACCGATGCGGCGACGACCGAGCCGCCTCGCGCCGCGACGGTGACAGTGATCGAGCCGCAAGTGCTGCTCCTGTCGCTCTCCGTGCTCCAGTCGCGCGTGTCGCATCTGCAGGCTCTGCTGGGGATGCTCGCTCAGGTATTCACGCTTTTAGGGTTTCGCTCGCTCAGTCATTTCCTGAGGGTTCTCTCGAATTATCCCGATCATTGATAAGCTTGTTAGAAACTCTTTGCTGTATATTGGCAGAGGACGCCGGTTAGAAAGATCCCCGCGTAGCAAAATAAAGATCCCCTATCCTTCCCCTCTGTCCTCCCCCACTGTCCCCCCCCCCCCCTTCCCCTCCTTCCGTCTCCAGCCGTCGTCAGCGCTGAAGATTGAGGAGGCGCCTTACGAGCAGGCGGCTGTAGCGGTCGGGACCATGATCCGACAGCTCGCTGTAGCGGCCGTCTCGCTTCTGCCGCCCAACCAGCAGGCGGCCGTTCTGCAGAGTGAGCCCCTGCTACAGCCGGCGCCGGGGGCTCAGCCTGCGTCATCCAACCCACCAGCTCCAGCTGACGGAAATCCGTCGCACCCCAACGAGGGAACTTCAAATCTGGCTCCCTCTGTGCTTGCTCCGGCCGCCACCCATACTGCTGCTGCTCCGGAAGCAGCGACGTTGATATCTCCGAAGTTGAAATCCAGCTCGACCATTGCCGAGCCTGGGGAGCTTCGGCACAGGCCTGCTGGAGAGGCAATAGACGCAACACTGGGGCGCGGCCCGTCCCTTGAGGCGCAGAGTTTGACCGTTAGACAAGTTGTCGGGATCAAGCGAGGGCGCGACCACATGTGCGGCGCGGAACCTGCTGCGAAAGCCATCTGCCATGCCGAACCCCACCAAAGGAGCAGTTTGTGCGGTCGGGTGCTTCCTCCAGGCCTTGGAGTTGCCGTTGCTGCACAAGAGCCTGATTCGCTGGGCGCCACGGTCACGGAAACTGGGGGAGACATGGAAGCTGGGAGTGACAAGGAGACCGAACCCACGGGAGCAAACCCGTGCGGACTTCCCTCTGCCGGTGTTGTGTCGGAGGTTTTCAGCTGCCCGGCTTCAGGCTGCCCGTTCAACAAGCAGCATCCGGGTTTCCGCGCGTTCAAGTCGAAGGCGTCGCTGAGGAACCACTACCGCCGGACGCACGCGGGTGAGGCGCTGCTGTGCTCGCGGTGCGGCAGCAAGTCGTTCTGCCTGCCGGCCGACCTGGAGGCTCATGAGAGGCGCTGCGGGCTGCGGAGGTGGCTGTGCTCGTGCGGCAATTCATTCAGGTATGGCGCTGCTGCATGCGCCATGTGATGTCATGCCACGTCCCGTCCCGTCACGTCATATCATATCATAGCATATCGCATCGTATTGTATCATATCTGGTCATATCATACCATAGTGAGAACATATGATTCTTTTGTGAGTTTTACAAGCTCCTCATATTTCCAATGCCTGTGCTTTCTCATCCCCCCTGTTTTGCCATGCCAGCCGAAAGGACAAACTAGCCAACCACTTGAAGGTCTTTCCAAGTCACCACGAGCTTGCCACCCAGAGCACGCCACTCCCAGATCCATCATATGTGCAGCATACCAGCCCAGCCCCAGTCGAGCAATCTGGTCCGTTCAATGCAAGTGATCAGTTACCCGATGATCCCCGTAACAGTGTCGACGTTAACGCACAAGGTTGTTACGATGTCACAACGGGTGCGCATCAAAATCCAGCGATCGCAAGTTCCGTGCTTGAACCGTGCGCTGGTCTGCTCTACAAGGATGCAGTGAGTGCTGTTGAGGCACTGGCGGAGTCTTTTGCGCAAAAGAGCAAGGAACATGTGATGCTTGAGACGCGAGGGGACGTTGGCTTCATGCATTTATTAGTGGAGAATCAGGGGGCTCAGGCAGTGGAGAGCACGTTTTCTGTCACTGAGCTGTTTCCTGAGCTGTCATGCTGATTACTTTTGGCTCATTTGCACGCCTGAGGCTAACTTCATACCTTACACTGTTTTGTATTAATGATATAAATCTTTACGTACACCTCATCAACATCGGACAGCATGAATCACAAGTATCTCGTTCAACACAGGGCAAACCATGAACTGCTCGGGATATTCATCCGCCCCGCTGCAGACAGATTCAGCATCATTTAATGCGTGCAATTGATGTTGCCAAACACACCCCGGGAATATGGTGTGGGATTTATTCTAAGATCCACTACCTCACGTTCCTTCGGGAATCCCACGGGTGTGCAAGATGGCGGAGCGGTTTAGCTCCAACATGTGCTGTAGAATGATTGCGGATATTGGCAATGTACGCCTGTCATACCATCCCCCTAAACAACCGCGACTGTTCGTGGGAGCACAAGGATTTTCAGCAATTTTGAGGCATGTACACCTGGGCTCCAATAATTTCAAGCCCTGGAAAATGGTTTCAGAGAAACCCTAGACCAGATCCGGCCGTATCTTTCAGACACCCAGAATCAAACAGATTTGACAGCGCTCTCCTCATCGGTAGTTAAAAAAAAAAATAAAACCTCAGTCGATCAGGCTCACCACCCAGTCTGTCGGGCAAATTTTCAGGCTGCGAACTTCGTAGCGTCATCGCCCTCAAAAAAGTGTCCGAAACATTACCTACTCTAAATTATTTTTCACTCTGTACAGCCCTTGGTCCCAGACATGATAAGGAGAACTACCCGAGAGCGCCCGATTTCGGGCCTTGAAATTATTGGAGCCCAGGTGTATCATACAGCACTGTAGGGTTTAGTTAGGATGCAACCAGCGAGCAACCTGCAATCCGGAGGTGGAGCGGGCACATGTGGGGTAGTTTGAGGCTTCTTGCAGGGCAGTTTAGCTAGGTTACTGTGCCTCAAGGTCAGCTCGCCCTGATGAGGCCAGTTTGAGCGGAAGGCCAAGTTTCTAGAGAAGACACTAATTTCCAAAAAATGCAACTGTTGGATTTGTAAGATAAGGTCGCAAACGTTTGGCACGGATTAACGCAGCCAATAAATGGCCACCACGTACAGCACAGTAAAATTGCAGTTACTACATACCTCCCAACAACCCCAGACGGAGTCCGTCTGTTGTGGGCCTCCCCCGCCGACCATAAGAGCCAGAAGGATGGTCCCCAAATGGTCGGCGCTCTAGGATTGGTCACGTTTGATTTCAGACAAAAACCGAATTTCCAATTTGTGTCGTGTAGGGGGCGCTACGTCAGATCAAACCTAACGTGGCGGAACAAGACATTTTTTCCCTCACCTGTCCTGCCAAAGAGGTACTGTACAAGATACTGTAACACTTGTCCCTCTAGTCACTGCAGAGGCGTGGGATTCAGATCGGACGCCCCTAATCACCACGGAAGAGCTATTCTATCATCTCATCATCTCAACACCTGCAAAGCTTTCATCCATTCCGCACCACAGGCTTTCAGAAATCACCCACCCCCCGGACCTCCCAAACGAAACTACGCCTCGCATTCAGAATGGGGCTTAGTTCTCCGTTCCGTTTGTTCCGTTCCGTTCCGTCCTGTTCCGTTCTCTTCTGTTCCACCATTTACTTGGTTCCAATTGGGCCTGGTTTCACCCCAGTCAGTTTCCAAGCACCTCCGGGCTGAGCTGAGCAGTCCTCAGGCCACTCCGACCACTGGCGGTGTCTTAGGGCATCTGGCTAGATCATTGCCCAACTTCAACTTGATCAGGTTGAAGCTGAGATGAGATGAGCTGCCCACCGTTCACCGCTGAAAGGTGGAACGGGGTGTGTAGTACTGCTATTACTACTTATCCCAGGATAAGGTATTTTTATCATACAGGTCCATCAACCTGCGTTTGCCAGAGTACTGGGAGAATTTACACGCCTAGTCCTGTACGACAGTCATTCCAACCGTCGCATTGTTTAGTTTGTGTAGTGATGCTGTCTAAGGGCGTATCATTAATAAGCAGTACTAACTCCTTGCCACAGGCCCGGGATGGGAGATAACAGAGATTTAATAGTAGCTGCAACTGCTTACCTGCGCAGCAAATGTGTCACGTGACTGTCTGCCCTCGTGACAGTGCCGTGACTGGCGCAGCACCCTGTGCTGGCAATGGCGCTTCACCGAAAGCACGAAAGCCTCTCTCCATACGGTCGGTCAGACTCTGACAGGAAAGCAGGTTCTCACTGCACTCGCTCTCACTGCACTGCTCCAGGATATCATGACAACACCCAGACACTTCCCCAGCAGGAGCTCTCAGCACCTAAGCTGCCCAATCACCCACCACCCCTTCACCATGGGTTTGATTCCCAACGACCCTCTCCCAGTGTCCCTCCGGGGAGTTCAGCTCAGCAGCAAGTAGACGGCAGGCTGCTGCCAGGTGGTGCGGCGATGAGAAAGCAACCACCTTCACCTCGTTCCCAAGGTCCCTGTCCCAGTGACCATCTGGGGCGTTCAGCTCAGCAGCCAGTCCGCAGCATGCAGGCCTCCCAGGCCTCAGTAGTAGAAGGAAGGCTGCTGCGCGGTGGTGTGGCGATGAGAGTACAGCCACCATCGCATCGTGGCTCCCAAGGTCCCTATCCCAGTGACCCTCCGGGACCTTCCGCCCAGCAGCAAGCCTCACACCGGGCCTCACAGATAGACAGCAGGCTGCTGCGGGGTGGTGCGACAATGGGAATGCAGCCGCCACCTCATCATGCCATGATAAGTGGTTCCCAAGTTCCCTGTCCCAGTGACCCTCCAGGGAGTTCAGCCCAGCAGCAGGCCTCCCAGGCCTACCGGGCCTCACAGGTAGACGGCAGGCTGCTGCGGGGTGGTGCGACAATGAGAATGCAGCCGCCACCCTGTTCCCAGGGGCCCTGTCCTCCCGGTGACCCTCCAGGGAGTTCAGCTCAAAGGCAGGCCTACCGGGCCTCACAGTTGAACGGCAGGCTGCCTCCGGGTGGTGACACGATGCCAAAGCAGCCACCAACTCATCATCATTCCCAAGGACACTCAGGTCCCAGCGACCCTCCGGGGAGTTCAGCTAAACCACAGGCCAACAGGGCCTCACAGGTAGAAGCCAGGCTGCTACGGGGTGGTGCGACAGTCTTTGGGACGTCTCAGAAGTCAGTAGTAGAAGGGAGGGTGGCGCCGGGTGGTGCGACGATCATGCCGCAGCCGCCGCAGCTCCAGCCGTCGCCAACAGTTGCACGGCCTCCCCGGCCACGTGCCGCCACTAGTCGCCTGGTTAACCGTTGGGACTTGCATGATAATGACGGCCGTCCACTTGCCTATGCAGACGCCTGTCGTTCGGGAGCAGACCAACAAGTAACTGTCGAAAGACAAGTAGACCGGCAAATACTTGCCGATCGCCTGCCGGGCTTTACGGGAAGAACAACTGCGGCACTACCATCTACTACGGGCCAATCGTTTGACATCATCAGGCTCGTCGAGAATTTGCTTCGATCCCGGGCTGGTTCGGGTTCCGAACCGCGCTGTCCCGAGGCTATGCCAGCTGCAGCAGCAAGGACTTCAGTCCGTGCTACAGGTGCTGCAGGAGACGGCAATCAGGAGGTTGTAGCAGCGGGATCTCTTGAGTCCCGTGCTACAGCCGGCTGGTCCCGTGCTGCTGTAGATGCTGCAGGATATGGCAGCAAGCAGGCAGTTGTAGCAGCAGGATCTCTTGAGTCCCCTGCTACAGCTGGCTTGTCCCGTGCTGCTACGGAAGAGACAGCTACAGCAGCATCCCATGCGAGAGTGGTGCTGGGAGGGCAGCATAGGCCAGGGGAGTGGCTGCATCGCCTTACAAGGGCCCAAGTTGGCACAAGAGGGCTGTACTTAGGCCGAGTGGACAACACTGGAGTTTGTGCTTCTACGGCTGCCACTGCTACTGCTGCTACTGCTACTGCTACTGCTGCTACTGCTACTGCTACTGCTGCTGCTGCTGCTTCTACAGCTACAGCTACTGCTACTGCTCCTGTTACTGCTGCTGTTCCCACTACTGCTACTCACAGCTGCACACCAAGCACCACATCCCCATCAAGCACACATGCAGCCCTCTCAAGGCAGTATGCAACTCTCCTCTCCTCACTCACCGCTCTCCAGGCCAGAGTATCCGCGTTACAAGCTCTTGTTCGGATCCTATCACAGGTACTAGGCTACTCGGGTTCTTCCCTTGCTATGTCTTGCACCAAATCCCTGTCCCGCTTCTGCTCTCACTGTTGCTCACGATTGTTGTCGTGGCTTGGGCAAGAGTTAAGCCTATCGCCTCAGTCACCCTGAGACACAACCCTGGAATTCCAAGCCCCTATTCTTCATTTCCACCTTTCATCATCCTCTCCTTATCATCTGTTCCTTCCACACTTGCCTTATAACGCCTCAAGTACGGTCGCTCAGTTCACTACTCTGTTTCTGCTGACCTTGTTCCAAATTTCTCATGCAGCAGCAGCAGGAGGAGAGGGTGAAGGAGAAGGAGCAGCAACAACAGATAAAGGACGAGGAGGAGGAGGAGGAGGAGGAGGAGGAGGAGGAGGAGGAGGAGGAGGAGGAGGAGGAGGAGGAGGAGGAGGAGGAGGAGGAGGAGGAGGAGGGAGAGGGGGGGGGGGGGAGGAGGAGGAGAGAGGAGGAGGAGGAGGAGGAGGAGGAGGAGGAGGAGGAGGAGGAGGAGGAGGGGGGGGAGGAGGAGGAGGAGGAGGAGGAGGAGGAGGAGGAGGAGGAGGAGGAGGAGGAGGAGGGAGGAGGAGGAGGAGGAGAGGAGGAGGAGGAGGAGGAGGAGAGGAGGACGAAGAAGATAAAGAAGCAGATAAGGCACACCAGAAGCAAGGGAAGAAGCAGCAGCAGGAGCAGGAGCAGGAGCAGGAGCAGGAGCAGCAGCATATAAAGGAATTGGAAGGCACAAAACATTTTCAGCAGCAACAACAGGAGAACGATAAGGAGGAGGAGCAGCAGGGGCAGAAGTTGCAGCAGCGGCAGAAGGAGAAGCAGGGGCAGAAGGTGCAGCAGCGGCAGAAGGAGCAGCAGGGGAAGAAGGAGCAGCAGGGAAAGGAACAGGGGAAGCAGACTCGCGAGAAGCAGGATCAGCAAAAGCAGGCTCGGGAGAAGCAGGTTCAGGAGAAGCAAGTTCAGGAGAAGCAGACTCGGGAGGAGCAGTGGAAGCAGCAGTGCGACACGGTGACAGTGGCGATATTCGGCATGATCAAGAACGTCGCAGTGGCTGCTGCCAGTCTGCTGCCTCCCCACCAGCAGCACACCGCACTCCTTCCCCTGCTCCCTCTGCTGCCCAACCTGCACGTTGTGTCGACTCTGCCGAGGCAAGATCTGCCGAGCCAGATTCTGCCGAACCAAGCTTCGCCAAACCTGGCTCTGGGGAGTAAGGAAGGTTCGGGTCTGATGGCTTGGAGACAGGAAGGTAGGAATGAGGAGGAGCGGGGCGAGGAGAGTGAGGGAGGGAGACGCAGCAGGGGTGAAGAGAAAGTGGAGGAAGTGGAGGGAGGGGATGAGGGGGGGAACAATGATGATGTTGACGACGACAATGATGAGGAAGGTAAGGAGGATAAAGAGGAGGCAGAGGAAGAGGAGGAGGAAGGGGAAGCGGAAGAGGAAGCGGAAGAGGAGAAAGGAGAGGCAGATGACAAAGAAGAGGAAGAGGGAGAAGGTGCGGCGGAGGAAGGGGATGCAAGGGAGGAGCAGGATAGGTTGCAGGATAGGGAGCAACTGCAAGTGGGAGCAGCAGGAGGCAAGGAGGTGCAATCGCGGCCACAAGTCACAGGTCTAAGTTACTCGATCATCAAGGAGCGACTTAAGGCTTTTGAGACGTCACAAAAGCAACTCAACGCTCCCCAAACAAGGCCTCACAGTGAAGATACTGCTGAAATGGGTAGCTTTGCAAGGGAAATCGGGCAGAAGCGCAAGCAGCACGAGGGGGAGATTTGGGACGGGGAGCAGGGAGGTGGGGAGCAGCATGAGTGGGAGGCGTCTCCTCATAAACGCAAGAAGCTGGAGCAGCTGCTGCTGCAGCTACAGGCTGCGCTTCAAGAGAGCATGTCGCCGGGCGGGGGAGCGGGACAGGGAGGAGTGGCGGCAGCAGCAGCAGCAGCAGCAGAGGCGCCCTCAGTGGTAGCAGCAGCGCCACCAGCATCAGGAGCAGCAGCAGCAGCAGCAGCAGCAGCACCAACAGCAGCACCAACAGCAGCACAAGAGCTAATTCAGGAAAACCTTCTCTCTGATTCTAGCCTGGCTGTAGTTGACTGGGCTACAGCAGGGGTAGCCCTCGCACACAGACAGCACGAGGCTACAAGGGGGGCAGCCGGGGCAGAAGCAAAGCAGGAGGCAATGAGAGGGGACGTCAGGGTGGGAGTAAAGCAGCAGGCAGCAAGAGGGCCATCCAGGGCAGGATCAAAGCAGGTGGATTCGGACCGGCCTGGACCCTCGTCCGGCTTTTCTTCCCGCCCCGACACTCTCTGGGTTACAAGGTGCCCGCCCCTAATTGAATTTTGAGTCGACTCAAAAGTCATCTGGGTTACAAGGTGCCCGCCCCTACTTGCGCTGCTTTTCAGACGTCTCAAAACTCGTCCGGCTTCCCTTCCCGCCCCAACACTCTCTGGGTGACAAGGTATCAACTCTACTTGCGCTGCTCCTCCTTCATGTGCTTTTCTTAGAGGTGACTGAGTTACCCATAGCACGTCTCTACCCATTTCCAGCCTACCCATAGCACATCTCCTGCACTGTCTCTCTCAGTCATTTCCCTCCTCCCTACATCCCTACCTACCTACCTCCCTATCTCCCTGTCTCCCTCCCTCTACCACCCCCATCCCCCCAGCTCCTCCCCCACAGCCTTCTCCTGCCCAGAGCCTGGCTGCCAGCACAGCAAGAAGCAATCTCACCTCTCCCTTGTCTCATGTTCTTCCTCTCCTCTTCCCTCTCCCACCACCCCCACAGCTCCTCCCCCACATCCTTCTCCTGTCCCGAGCCAGGCTGCCAGCACAACGAGCAGCACTTTCGCTTCCGCCCACTCAAGTCCCTGGCCTCGCTGCGAACCCACCACCTCCGCGTGCATCGCAACAAGCCCTTCACCTGCTCCCGCTGCCAGGTGAACCACCTTCCACTTCATTCTCCTGTCCTTTCCTCTCCTCTCCCTTCTGCTGATCGCTCAAGTCACTCTCCTCGCTGCGAACCCACCGCCTCCACATGCATCGCACCAAGCCCCTCACCTGCTCCCGCTGCCAGGTAAAACTCTTTCGTCACTTCACTCTTCTGTCCTTTCCTCTCCTCTCCCTTCTGCTGATCGCTCAAGTCACTCTCCTCACTGCAAACCCACCACCTCCGCGTGCATGGCTACAAGCCCTTCACCTGCTCCCACTTCTGAGTGCACTTTACTCTACTGTCTGCTTCTCTCCTCTTCCCAGCAAGCCCCCTGCCTCACTGCAAACCCGCGACCTCCGCACGCATGGCAAACCCTCCCTTCCCCCCCCTCACCCTTCCCCTCAGGTCAAGTCCTTCGACCTTCAGTCCAACCTGCGGGCCCACAAGAAACGGTGCGGTGTAAAGTGGTGGCATTGCTCCTGCTGCAGCTCACTCACACTTCTCCTCCCTCCCCTTTTCCCTCTCCCATCCCCTCAGGTCAAGTCCTTCGCCCTTCAGTCGGACCTGCGAACACACGAGAAGCGGTGCGGTGTAAAGCGGTGGCACTGCTCCTGCGGGAATTCCTTCAGCAGAAAGGACAAACTATCCAAACACCTCGACATTTTCACGGAACACTCGCCTCTCTTCAACCTCCAGCCAGTTCCCGTTCCCATTCAGCCAAAGCAGAAGGTGCAGCAGAGGAGACAGACGCTGCAGGCCCAGATGCAGCAGGTAGCAGCATCAAATCAGTTTGAGACGCAGCAGGCAGCGGCGTATAATCAGTTTGAGACGCAGCAGGTAGCAGCGTCAAATCAGCTTCAGATGCAGACAAATCAGTTACAGGCGGATATGAAGCTTCTAGAGGAGCAAACGAATCAGCTAGAGGAGCAGACGAATCAGCTGGAGGCGCGAATGAAGCTGCTAGAGGCCCCTCAAAGCGTCAGCCGTATGAACGTGGCTGTCATGGATCACTCTTCTGCCAGTCACCTTGGGATTCTTGAGTCGACTCAACAAAATTCTCTTGCCAGTCACCTTGCTCACCACTCTCCTGCCAGTCACCTGGGAATTCTTGAGTCACCTCAACAGCGTTTTCCTGCCAGTCACCTGGCGCGCTCTGCTAGCTGTGCTTCTGAGAGGAACCATCCTTGGGGGGAGGATGGCTTGGCGAGAAGTGTGCTAGAGAGGAATGAGTTGGAGAGGAATGAGTTGGAGGCAATTGGTTCAGACGGGAAGGAGAGCAGGAGTAGGAATGGGTCGCTGCTGCAGGGGGCTCTTCAGGCAAACCAAGAGCGCCCCTCCTCACCCTTGCTTCAGCCGCACCCCTCCCCACCCTCGCTGCATCAACACCCCTCCCTCCCGTTGCCGCAGCAACACCCCTCTCTCCCTTTGCAGCAGCAGCAGTCGTCCCTACCCCCGCAGGCAGCACAGGTGCCACATCTGTCTCTGCCAGCCCAGGTGCCCACACAGCATGTCCAAGCCATAACCCCACTCCACCCTGCACAGTCAACGCAGTCAATGCAGTCAACGCATTCCAGGAAATCAGTGCAGTCGATGCAGTCAAGGCAGTCAACGCGACCTATGCAGGCCTCTCCACCTGTGCAGCCCCTGCTGCCAGAACGGTCATTACAGTCCATGCAGTCAACGCAGTCAACACAGTCAACACGGCCAGTACGGTCAATGCAGTCGACACGCAGTCAACATCGCGACGCTGACCTGTCGACATTGGATCGCAACGCTGACCTGTCAACATTGGATCACGACGCTGACGTGTCAGCTCTGCTGGAGGCGTCGTGTCGGGAGATCATTGATTTGGGGGGGGATGACGCCCTCAGGGCTTCATGTCAGCTGATTCTCTTGGCGCTACAGCAGCAGCAATCACAATTTCAGCAGCAGCAGCAACCGCAGCAGCAGCAGCAGCAGCAGCCGCCGCCGCCGCAGCAGCAGCAGCAGCAGCAGCAGCAGCAGCAGCAGCAGCAGCAGCAGCAGCAGCAGCAGCAGCAGCAGCAAGAGCAGCAACCACTTTTGCAGCAGCAGCCTCAACAGCAACAGGTGCAGCAGCAACAGGTGCAGCAGCAGCAAGTGCAGCAGCAGGTGCAAAAAACAGGTGGAACGGCCAAAACAGCAGCAGCCATCCAGCCAGGTAAACTCGCCACCCTTCCACCACCAGCAATTCACCTGGGCTAACCATGACCTCACCTGGGCAAACCAAGATGACACCTGGACGAACCAACAACCCACATGGGCTGACGACCCTCTGCCAGCCTCCCATGCACTAACCACAACTGACCCTCCATCCCAGCACCATGGATTACCCTCCATTCCTCCTGAGTCCACACCAGAAGCCACTGGACCTCTTGATTCAACCCCACAGTCAACTACCATTCCACCACCTCACCCTAGCTGGAACACCAAAGTGGCCCTTGATTCAACTCAAGGGTCGACGGAAATTCCACCCCAGTTTCGAAGCCCGAGCCACCAACTGGCTTTTGAGTCAAACCTAGAGCCAACTAGCCCTCCATCTTCCCACCCACAGAATAGCCTCCCAACTGCCCTTTACAGCCTCATTCACGGGGTCCCTGAGGATGCCACAGAGGCAATAGGGGGAATCTCTCTTGAGGAGCTCTTTCCAGAGCTGCAAGTCGACTTTTAAAGCTCTGAGGATCCACTTTGGTGCTGCGAGACAGCTTCTGATTCTCTGCAGCACTCAAATTCCGAGCACATGTAAAGCTAACTTTGGAGCTTGGATCATCTAGATATACAGAGGGACTAGTTGGAAAGTGGTTGCTAGCCGCAGGCTTGAAAGGAAGAAAGCCCTCTAATAGGCAAGGCTCAGATGTATTTTGTTCATTCATTTATTGATTGTTTCTGGTGCACACGGAGCAGTAGTGAAGCATCTATCCTCAAGCCGCATTGGAGGTGAGACGCTGGAGGAAGCAGCAGCAGGAGCAGACATGTCAAATAAGCAAGTACCAAGCTCAAAACAATGGGCGCTCCAGCATGTGGACATGCAATAAATCACTGAGCAGTACACCATGTAAACTTGTACATGCCGTATAAACCCCCTTATATTGAGATCAGCACCAGACGCAATGCAGTATGATGGGCTTGTAAAGCAGCATTCAGAAACATCCCACCGCCATCCAGTCATCCAAGCAGCAGCAGGCGCTGGCTCTGGCAACAGCAGCAGCAGCACGTTCTGCAGTATCTGAGCGCAGAGGTCCCCCATCCCTATCATGAATTGTCCAGCATCTGAGCCAGCTCTCCTTTGAGCCGTCTACTTCAACACTTAAGCAGCAACAGCAGCAGCAGCAGCAGCAGCAGCAGCGGCAGCAGCAGCAGACATTGCTGCATGTATTCTTCATCCAGAACCCTTCCCTGGACATGGAGCCTCAAGCCAATTACACCGACGACCCACCACCTTTATTCCCGTTCTCCTCCTCCTTATCCTCCCAGAAAACTTCGAGAGCATGGAAGCTAGGGACAGTGAGGAGAAATCGGTGCAAGAGGGGATGGGACCCACAAGAGCAAACCCATGCAGGCTTCCTACCACCGATGTTTCGGTCGTTCAAGACAAATGCATCTCTGCGAATTCAATACCGGCGGGCGCATGCGGGTGAGGCGGGGCTGTGCTCGTGGTGTGGCAGTAAGTCATTCGGCCTGGCGGCTGACCTGGAAGCACATGAGAGTGTGAACGAGAGAGGAATGATGGGATTAGGTCAAGGAGGGGTACAAGAAGAATGTCGAGAAAAATACTGTACCCCCTAGTGCTAACCCACTACAGCCTACAAATGTATAACCCCTATATAATTTGACACACCCCCATAGGCAAAGTGGGGGAGAACAAGGGGTCACAAGACCAGTCAAGCAAAGCAAGCTCAGGGTGGATCACAACGTCACCACACATTCCGAGCACAGGTTCAAGGCCAGTTCACATGCAGGATTATATATAAAGGGAAACAAGCAAGAGCACGTATATAGAACACAGTACAAAGCAAGGTCAAGAAGTGAGCAAGTGCGGCCAAGTAGGCACAAGACCCAGCATCGTACAAAAGCGCTGATACCATGTGAACGAGAGAGTAATGATGGGATTAGGTCAAGGAGGGGTACAAGAAGAATGTCGAGAAAAATACTGTACCCCCTAGTGCTAACTCACTACAGCCTACAAATGTATAACCCCTACATAATTTGACAGAGAGGAGCTGCGGGCCGTGACAATGGTAATGCTAGTGTGGCAACACATTCAGGTATGGCCGTGACAAGATTCTGCGTCATATCGTATCATACAACTTAACAATCGTGACTCTTCTGCAAACTTGACATGCTCCTAATGTTTTGTGCCTATCTTTTCTTGTTACACAGTGCTTACCACCGTACATCTCATCTCCCCTGTTCTGCCATGCCAGCCAAAAGGACAAGCTACCCAACCATTTGAAGGTCTTTCCAAGTCACCACAAGCTTGCCACCTAGCACGATGCTTCTATACGGACCCATCTAATGTGCAGCATACCAGCCTAGCTCGAGTGCACGGACAAGGTTGTTACGATGCCAGAATGTGTGTGCATTGAACTTCTGCAAATGGGAGTTCCATGCATTGAACCTTGCACTGGACTGCTCAACAGGGATGCTGAGAGTTTTGTGAAGGCACTAGCAAAGCCTTTGGTGCAGAAGAGCAAGAAACTTGTGATACATGAGATGAGACACGTTGACATAATAGTTTGATGCATGTAACGGACTGTCAAAGGCTGTAGATTGTACGTTTTCATTCAGCAATCTCTCACTGAGATGTTTTGTTGATTTATTTTCGGCTAATTGTATACTTGAAGCTTATAGTACACAGTGCCATTTTTTCCCTATTGCTGTATAAATCTCCATATACACCTCACCATCAGACCCACTTATCACAAATAACTGTTCAGTACTGGTCAAACCATGAACTACGCGCGGACGTTTCTCGTCGAGGAACCTTCACCTAATGCTTCCGTCATCCACCCTCTTTGCCGCCGACACTTTTCACGACTAGCGATTGAGGTGTGAATTGTAGACCGTGAAGAAATTGAAGTTTTTTTCTGGGCTATAATTTGTTCTTCCCATTTCCCTGTGGTCTGTCTGGAGAACCATGGACGCAAGTGCCCTAGGTGTGCTATTTCCCTCAATTTCGATAGTGGTAGATTTTTTTGCGTCTTTCCAGCATCTCTAAAACCCGAACATTTTGAGTCACGACTTTCTATTTTTTCTAAAAATCAAAGCCCAAAATAGAACTAATTGCGAGTTTCGCCACCATCCTACTAACACTTAGGTAGCGAGTCACCCACCCCCGTGCAGGCGTGTTCTGCCAGCCCCCAAGGAGGGGGTCTGCACGTACTCATCTAGGAAGTGGATACCCCAATTCGGTTAGGACCAATTTATAATTTTAACTTTAAACTTAGGTAGCGAGTCTAAGACGCAACGTCCGGTAACGAGGTCCGAGCCAACCATACCATCACACCCAACCTCCCAACAACTCCTTCCCGTGTGAGCCTCCCCCGCGGACCATAGAAGCCAGGCTGGCTCTCAAATGGTCGGCGCTTTGTGATTGGTCACGTCCCTTTACAGACAAAATTAACGGCTTTCAGATCGTGTCGTATTCCTGGCGGTACAGTGGATCTTAGCACAGATGAAGGCGTGGCGTGGCAGAACGAGACACGCCTCATATTTCCCTCTCAACTGTTCTGCTCACTGGTTAACACTTGTCCCAAGTGCAACTGAAGAGGTGGGAGGATGGGATGGGAGACGCCTTCACTGTACAGTATAGAACAGCCTTTCCCCATCCCAATCACCTTCAACAGCAGCTGCATCCATTCCCCACCACAGGCTATCACGGACTTTCGGGCGGGATTACGCCTCGCGTTTGAAATGAGCGCTCCGTTCCGTTCCGTCCCGTTCGGTTCCGTTCTGTTCCGTTTTGTTCCGTTCCTTACCATTGCCTGGGTCCAATCAGGCCGGGCCTGGTTTCACCTGCCGGTGTTCCAAAGCACCTCAAAGCACCTCAGAGAACGCCCCCGGGGCCCTGGGGCCTGCCCAGTGGGTCCAGGCCATCTCTGATCCCCACAGTGTGATGAGGTACCTCATCCCAGCTTCTCTTGAAGGCTCGGGCTGAGCTGGGATGCGCCGCAGCGTTTACCCGTGGATCCGATTTACACTGAAGGTACCCTATCGTATCCGGGATGCGCTGCTTATCCTAAGAGGTTGGCAATGCTTGCCAGACTGAGTAGCACGGGAAATAGTCCAGTACACAAGCGCCGCGCTCTTGTGTTGTGTGGCTAGTGCTTGTATGAGGGACGTAAACCATTTGCCAGAATATGTGACTCCTACATCAATACGTACCGAGATCAACAGAGAATAGTACTACTACGTACTGCCACTAGCAACGGAGCAGATGTGTCACGTGACTGTCCTCTCTCATAAGCAGACTGTCCTCTCTCGTGACAGAGGCACCGGCCCAGCATCACCAAATGCTCGCACTCCTCCCAGCAGCAGCAGCAGCAGCAGCAGCAGCAGCAGCAGCAGGCCTCGCGCGGCAATGCCGCTTCACCGGAAGGACGGAAGCCCTCCCTTTACAAGGTCTTCCGTCCTTCCGGTCCTGCCCGGAAGCCGGTCCTGGACCGGCGTGGCTGCTGGCGAGAGAAACGATGATGCGCGGCTGTTGGAGAATGATGAACAGGGTCGGCCACGG